GTACCCTCACCTGTGTGTGTGTACCCTCACCAATGTGTGTACCCTCACCTGTGTGTGTGTACCCTCACCAGTGTGTGTGTACCCTCACCAGTGTGTGTGTGTACCCTCACCAGTGTGTGAACCCTCACCAGTGTGTGTGTACCCTCACCAGTGTGTGTGTACCCTCACCAGTGTGTGTGTACCCTCACCAGTGTGTGTGTACCCTCACCAGTGTGTGTACCCTCACCAGTGTGTGTGTACCCTCACCAGTGTATGTGTACCCTCACCAGTGTGTACCCTCACCAGTGTGTGTGTACCCTCACCAGTGTGTGTGTGTACCCTCACCTGTGTATGTGTACCCTCACCAGTGTGTGTGTGTACCCTCACCAATGTGTGTGTGCCCTCACCTGTGTGTGTGTACCCTCACCAGTGTGTGTGTGCCCTCACCTGTGTGTGTGTATCCTCACCAGTGTGTGTGTACCCTCACCTGTGTGTGTGTATCCTCACCAGTGTGTGTACCCTCACCAGTGTGTGTGTACCCTCACCAGTGTGTGTGTACCCTCACCAGTGTGTGTGTACCCTCACCTGTGTGTGTGTACCCTCACCCGTGTGTGTGTACCCTCACCAGTGTGTGTGTACCCTCACCAGTGTGTGTGTGTACCCTCACCAGTGTGTGTGTACCCTCACCAATGTGTGTATATCCTCACCAGTGTGTGTGTGCCCTCACCTGTGTGTGTGTACCCTCACCAGTGTGTGTGTATCCTCACCAGTGTGTGTGTGCCCTCACCTGTGTGTGTGTACCCTCACCAGTGTGTGTGTACCCTCACCAATGTGTGTGTATCCTCACCAGTGTGTGTGTACCCTCACCTGTGTGTGTGTACCCTCACCAGTGTGTGTGTATCCTCACCTGTGTTTGTGTACCCTCACCAGTGTGTGTGTACCCTCACCAGTGTGTGTACCCTCACCAGTGTGTGTGTACCCTCACCAGTGTGTGTGTGCCCTCACCAGTGTGTGTGTGTACCCTCACCAGTGTGTGTGTACCCTCACCTGTGTGTGTGTGCCCTCACCAGTGTGTGTGTACCCTCACCAGTGTGTGTGTATCCTCACCAGTGTGTGTGTACCCTCACCAGTGTGTGTGTACCCTCACCAGTGTGTGTGTATCCTCACCAGTGTGTGTGTACCCTCACCAGTGTGTGTGTACCCTCACCAGTGTGTGTGTATCCTCACCAGTGTGTGTGTACCCTCACCAGTGTGTGTGTACCCTCACCAGTGTGTGTGTACCCTCACCAGTGTGTGTGTATCCTCACCAGTGTGCGTGTACCCTCACCAGTGTGTGTGTACCCTCACCAGTGTGTGTGTATCCTCACCAGTGTGTGTGTACCCTCACCAGTGTATGTGTACCCTCACCAGTTTGTGTGCACACTCACTTGTGTGTGTACCCTCACCAGTGTGTGTGTGTACCCTCACCAGTGTGTGTGTACCCTCACCAGTGTGTGTGTACCCTCACCAGTGTGTGTGTATACACTCACCTGTGTGTGTGTACCCTCACCAGTGTGTGTGTACACTCACCTGTGTGTGTGTACCCTCACCAGTGTGTGTGTATACACACCTGTGTGTGTGTACCCTCACCAGTGTGTGTGTATACACTCACCTGTGTGTGTGTACCCTCACCAGTGTGCGTGTACCCTCACCAGTGTGCGTGTACCCTCACCAGTGTGTGTGTGTACCCTCACCAGTGTGTGTGTACCCTCACCAGTGTGTGTGTATCCTCACCAGTGTGTGTGTGTACCCTCACCAGTGTGCGTGTACCCTCACCAGTGTGCGTGTACCCTCACCAGTGTGTGTGTACACTCACCAGTGTGTGTGTACCCTCACCAGTGTGTGTGTACACTCACCAGTGTGTGTGTACCCTCACCAGTGTGTGTGTACCCTCACCAGTGTGTACCCTCACCAGTGTGTGTGTACCCTCACCAGTGTGTGTGTACCCTCACCAGTGTGTGTGTACCCTCACCAATGTGTGTGTACCCTCACCAGTGTGTGTGTACCCTCACCAGTGTGTACCCTCACCAATGTGTGTGTACCCTCACCAGTGTGTACCCTCACCTGTGTGTGTGTACCCTCACCTGTGTGTGTGTACCCTCACCAGTGTGTGTGTACCCTCACCAGTGTGTACCCTGACCAGTGTGTGTGTACCCTCACCTGTGTGTGTGTACCCTCACCAGTGTGTGTACCCTCACCTGTGTGTGTGTACCCTCACCAGTGTGTGTGTACCCTCAACAGTATGTGTACCCTCACCAGTGTGTGTGTACCCTCACCAGTGTGTGTACCCTCACCAATGTGTGTGTACCCTCACCAGTGTGTGTACCCTCACCAGTGTGTGTGTACCCTCACCAGTGTGTGTGTACCCTCACCAGTGTGTGTACCCTCACCAGTGTGTGTGTACCCTCACCAGTGTGTGTACCCTCACCAGTGTGTGTGTACCCTCACCAGTGTGTGTGTGTACCCTCACCTGTGTGTGTGTACCCTCACCAATGTGTGTACCCTCACCTGTGTGTGTGTACCCTCACCAGTGTGTGTGTACCCTCACCAGTGTGTGTGTGTACCCTCACCAGTGTGTGAACCCTCACCAGTGTGTGTGTACCCTCACAGTGTGTGAACTCACCAGTGTGTGTGTACCCTCACCAGTGTGTGTGTACCCTCACCAGTGTGTGTGTACCCTCACCAGTGTGTGTACCCTCACCAGTGTGTGTGTACCCTCACCAGTGTATGTGTACCCTCACCAGTGTGTACCCTCACCAGTGTGTGTGTACCCTCACCAGTGTGTGTGTGTACCCTCACCTGTGTATGTGTACCCTCACCAGTGTGTGTGTGTACCCTCACCAATGTGTGTGTGCCCTCACCTGTGTGTGTGTGTACCCTCACCAGTGTGTGTGTGCCCTCACCTGTGTGTGTGTATCCTCACCAGTGTGTGTGTACCCTCACCTGTGTGTGTGTATCCTCACCAGTGTGTGTACCCTCACCAGTGTGTGTGTACCCTCACCAGTGTGTGTGTACCCTCACCAGTGTGTGTGTACCCTCACCTGTGTGTGTGTACCCTCACCCGTGTGTGTGTACCCTCACCAGTGTGTGTGTACCCTCACCAGTGTGTGTGTGTACCCTCACCAGTGTGTGTGTACCCTCACCAGTGTGTGTGTATCCTCACCAGTGTGTGTGTGCCCTCACCTGTGTGTGTGTACCCTCACCAGTGTGTGTGTATCCTCACCAGTGTGTGTGTGCCCTCACCTGTGTGTGTGTACCCTCACCAGTGTGTGTGTACCCTCACCAATGTGTGTGTATCCTCACCAGTGTGTGTGTACCCTCACCTGTGTGTGTGTACCCTCACCAGTGTGTGTGTATCCTCACCTGTGTTTGTGTACCCTCACCAGTGTGTGTGTACCCTCACCAGTGTGTGTACCCTCACCAGTGTGTGTGTACCCTCACCAGTGTGTGTGTGCCCTCACCAGTGTGTGTGTGTACCCTCACCAGTGTGTGTGTACCCTCACCTGTGTGTGTGTGCCCTCACCAGTGTGTGTGTACCCTCACCAGTGTGTGTGTATCCTCACCAGTGTGTGTGTACCCTCACCAGTGTGTGTGTACCCTCACCAGTGTGTGTGTATCCTCACCAGTGTGTGTGTACCCTCACCAGTGTGTGTGTACCCTCACCAGTGTGTGTGTATCCTCACCAGTGTGTGTGTACCCTCACCAGTGTGTGTGTACCCTCACCAGTGTGTGTGTACCCTCACCAGTGTGTGTGTATCCTCACCAGTGTGCGTGTACCCTCACCAGTGTGTGTGTACCCTCACCAGTGTGTGTGTATCCTCACCAGTGTGTGTGTACCCTCACCAGTGTATGTGTACCCTCACCAGTTTGTGTGCACACTCACTTGTGTGTGTACCCTCACCAGTGTGTGTGTGTACCCTCACCAGTGTGTGTGTATCCTCACCAGTGTGTGTGTACCCTCACCAGTGTGTGTGTATCCTCACCAGTGTGTGTAGCCTCACCAGTGTGTGTGTACCCTCACCAGTGTGTGTGTACCCTCACCAGTGTGTGTGTATCCTCACCAGTGTGTGTGTGCCCTCACCTGTGTGTGTGTACCCTCACCAGTGTGTGTGTGCCCTCACCTGTGTGTGTGTACCCTCACCAGTGTGTGTGTACCCTCACCAGTGTGTGTGTGTACCCTCACCAGTGTGTGTGTGCCCTCACCTGTGTGTGTGTACCCTCACCCGTGTGTGTGTACCCTCACCCGTGTGTGTGTGCCCTCACCCGTGTGTGTGTGCCCTCACCCGTGTGTGTGTACCCTCACCAGTGTGTGTGTACCCTCACCAGTGTGTGTGTACCCTCACCAGTGTGCGTGTACCCTCACCAGTGTGCGTGTACCCTCACCAGTGTGCGTGTACCCTCACCAGTGTGTGTGTATCCTCACCAATGTGTGTGTACCCTCACCAGTGTGTGTATCCTCACCAGTGTGTGTGTACCCTCACCAGTGTGTGTGTACCCTCACCAATGTGTGTGTACCCTCACCAGTGTGTGTGTACCCTCACCAGTGTGTGTGTACCCTCACCAGTGTGTGTGTATCCTCACCAATATGTGTGTACCCTCACCAGTGTGTGTGTGCCCTCACCTGTGTGTGTGTACCCTCACCAGTGTGTGTGTGCCCTCACCAATGTGTGTGTATCCTCACCAGTGTGTGTGTGCCCTCACCAGTGTGTGTACCCTCACCAGTGTGTGTGTACACTCACCAGTGTGTGTACCCTCACCAGTGTGTGTGTACCCTCACCAATGTGTGTACCCTCACCAGTGTGTGTACCCTCACCAGTGTGTGTTTACCCTCACCAGTGTGTGTACCCTCACCAGTGTGTGTACCCTCACCAGTGTGTGTGTACTCTCACCTGTGTGTGTACCCTCACCTGCTCTCCCCATCTCCTCTCCCCTGTGTGTTCACCCTCACCTGCTCTCCCCCCGTCTTTGCTCCCCTGGTGCAGCTGCACAGCAGCATCAGCAGCAGAAGCAGCAATGGGCTACACGGACGGCACGGCCACCGTGGTGCTGGGCAACCGCACGCTGCTCTTCATGTTCCTGTGCGCTTTCGCCTTCGTCACGCTCTGGCAGGAGATCAGCTTCGGGCCCCGTGCCCTCCGCAGGTACGTGGGTCCTACGGGGCCACGCTGGGTAAGCAGCCGGTACATGGGTCGTGGGGTGACGGCATGTATGCAGGATGAGCAAGACCCTGTAGCGGTGGTGTCGGTGGTGGTGACCCGAGTCCCATTGTGGTTTCAGGCCGGGGCGGTCCTATACACGAACGCCATATTCTCTGTCCGTCTACTTCAGCAGAGGTGGAGGGAATTTCAGCAGCACCTACATCTTTGCTTTATTGACCTGGTCAAGGCCTATGATGCCATGAATGTGCCAGGGTTCTGGGTTATTCTTCATTACCTTCGGAGTCCCTGACCCTCTGCTCACAATCCTTTAGGACGTTCATGATGGTGGGCAGGCCCAGGTAAAGCTGCGTGGCCGGGAGACGAAGCCATTTTGTGTTCACCTTGGGACGTGATAGGGATGTCCTCTGACCCCTACACTATTTAACAGATTTTTTGACCACATAGTCCGAGAAGCTTTGCATGCCTGTACCTGTGGAATAACCAACTGTAACAGATACAATGGGAGGCTGATCGATGCCTGCGTGTGGTCAAGGGATGGCTCCCTGTTGGTCAACCCGTATTTTGATGAACTGGTAATAACTGCTCACTCTTAAGAAGGAGTTGGAGCAGCTATTGCCGAACCGTGACCGTGCTACTAAGAGACGGGGCCTTACCGTCAGCCCCACAAAATCAAAGGACCTGCCTTGGTGTTTTACGTCATCAAATACTGCCCTCCTTCCCACTCCCCCATGAGTGATGGCGCAGTGGTGGACAAGTTTCCATACCTGAACAGTGTGCTTATGACCGACCCCCGGTTTGGCAGCGGAGATCTCCGAATGAGTCGAACAGCCACCATTGTCTTTTCATCAGCTGCCTAACGCCATGTGGAATCAACCTGATCCACATGCGCAGGTGGTGCATCTATCATTCATCTCAGTCAGCCCTGACACCTGAGTCTGTCACGTGACCTTTTGCCAGCAGCGAGTCTTCGACACTTCATGTGGCCTCAAAAGTGCATCATAGCTTGGTACAAAGCGCCATGGTGACGTCACCGCCACTTAGTGGTGAAGGGGGGTTGTTATTGATGTGTGTGTGTATGGGGCAGGTATTTTGTGTTGTACCACGAGCCTCTGCTCTTCAAAACCACTGAGTAGTGGTGATCCCGTGGTGTGTGTGTGTGGTGCAGGTATTTTGTGTCTTACCACGGCCCTCTGCTCTTCAACTCCACCGAGTGTCGGGAGCTCCGCACCGACATGACCGATGTCCGCCTGGGAATGTGAGTCTTCCCCTATCCCTCACTCTCTCAACAGCACCACTTACCAGTATCACCAGTGCAATATCACCAGCGCAACTTACCAGTGACATTCAACCAGCGTCACTCACCAGCACCACTTACCAGTTTCACCAATGCAATATCACCAGCGACACTGACCAATGCCACACCAGCGCTACTCACCAGTATCACCAGCGCCATTCACCAGTGCCACTCATACCAGCGCTACTCACCAGTATCACCAGCGCCATTCACCAGTGCCACTCATACCAGCGCTACTCACCAGTATCACCAGCGCCATTCACCAGTGCCACTCATACCAGCGCTACTCACCAGTATCACCAGCGCCATTCACCAGTGCCACTCATACCAGCGCTACTCACCAGTATCACCAGCGCCATTCACCAGTGCCACTCATACCAGCGCTACTCACCAGTATCACCAGTGCCATTCACCAGTGCCACTCATACCAGCGCTACTCACCAGTATCACCAGTGCCATTCACCAGTGCCACTCATACCAGCGCTACTCACCAGTATCACCAGTGCCATTCACCAGCGCCACTTACTAGTGTCATCCAACCAGAGCAACTCGTCAGCGCCACTCATACCATCACCTTGTTGTCCTTCCCTCGCACCTCCGATTAGCACAGTTCAACGTACATATATACATACATCAACATACAAGCACCAGTCACCAGCGCTACACATCAGCGCCACTCAATAGCGCAACTCGCCAACGTGATGGAACGGGTGTGATTGCTGTGGAGGCAGTGAGACCGTAGGCACCAGAGAGAGGAAAGTGATCATGGCCGTGACTGTGTTGAGTACTGGTTGTGATGGTGATGTGGCGATGTGGTGGTCATGATGGTGATGCAGTAGTGGTGGCGGTGATCTGTTGGTGGTGATGGTTTGGTGGTGGTCATGGTTTGGTGGTCATGGTGATGATGGTGGTATGGTTATTGTGTTGTGGTGGGGATGATGGTGAAATGTTGTTGATGGTAGTGATGGTGGTGATAGTGTTGATGGTGCTAGAGATGGTGGTGGTGATAGTGTTGATGGTGCTAGAGAAGGTGGTGATAGTGGTGATAGTGGTGATGGTGTAGATAGTGGTGGTTGATGGTGGTGTGGGAGTAATGATAGTGATGCTGGTGATTGATGGTGGTGATAGTGATGGTGGTGTGGGAGTGATGGTAGTGATGGTGATTTGGTGATGGTGGTGTTGGGGTGATGGTGGTGATAGTTTTGTTGTTGGTGGTGATAATGGTAGTGGTGTTGGTGGTGGTGTTGTTCACGGGGTTGGTGTGTTGTGTCCAGGTTTCGTGAGTCCGATGTCTTTGATCGCTGGCGGCGCCTCCAGGTGTGCGACTGGGAACACAACCGCTCCGAGTCCGACCTGCTCAGGTGCGTGCACGCGTCTGTGTACACTTGCCTGTGGGTGTGTCCACGTGTGTGTGTGTGTGCGCGCGCCCTGCGCTGCGAACCTGACGACCCAAGTTAAACTTTCGATGACAGCCGAAACCATTCACGGATATCTGAATTGAGCCTGTGCCTTCCCTAGGTCGACTCGACCTGAAATAAGTTCTCAGACATGCCGTGTAACGTGAGCCCAGGAAGTGGCACTGGCACACATAAAGCCTGCTGCTCGTATAACAGGCGGTGTTCGCTTGCGGCATCCACCGTGCAGGGCCGCGAGGGTGAAAAACCGTCTCGTGTTGTAGCCCTGTGCCCCTCCCGTTCGCATCCCCCTGTCTCCCCACGCCCCCTCCCCGTGTCTTCGCGTGTCTTCTGCCCAGAGGTCGCAAACGGGTTTTGATTCCTTACCCGTACCCGTACCCGGCCGCACCAGGGTCGCAAACGGGTACTCGTACCCGTAACCTACCCGATACCCAGCTACCCGTACCCGGCCGGGTATCAGGTAGGGTACGGGTACGAGTACCCGATTGCGACCTCTGGGATGAAGTCATGTTGCAGGCGCGGGTGGGTTGATTCTGGGATCTTGAATTGTGAGAAGAGACAAGACGTTGGGAAATGAGTGACAAACGGTTACTCACCAGTGACTCACGGCCTACTCGTACCCAGCCGCACCAGGGTCGCAAACGGCTACCCGTACCCGTACCCGGCCGGGTACTGGTAGCCGGGTATCGGGTAGGGTACGGGTATCGGGTACCCGGTTGCGACCTCTGCTTCTGCCCCGTGCGGCTCCAGTGCAACTCCCCGTGCCTGCCCCCGTCTCTCCCCCGCGATGTCCCCCGCGCCGCGGCACCACCGCAGGCTGCAGCTGTCGCGGTGCTGCAATGCGCCGGGGCTGCTGGTGGCGTCTCAGCGGAATGTGGCGCTGGGGAGCCGCCTGCGCTATGAGGGCGAGGAGAAGCGGACGCTGCAGGTCGGCCAGGAGCTGTTCAACATGCTGCCTCCGGTGAGCGCCAGGCTGCGCGCCAACTGGCAGACGCACCACCAGCTGCGCCCCCCGACTGTGCCAACTTGCTGTATTTAGCCGCCCGGCGCTCCGCTCGTTGTTGTGAGCGTCGCTCCTCTTAACCTCCACTGTTGTTGGAGGGCGAATGCCTCCAACTGCCCAGTCGCAGAAATGACCAGATCATCAGCATACATAACTTGCTTAACCAATGGGAAGCTAACCCTTGACTCCACCTGGGCATCGATCAGCCTCACACTGTATCAGGACCAGATGGAAATTCAATTTGGTTAACTAACATCACGCGAACGTGCGTACGCACGCACGGCTGTGCGTGTAGCAATGACCTTGCCATGACGCTGGCGCTGTGCAGGAGATGCCGTACGGCAAGCAGCAGTTCCGCACGTGCTCTGTGGTGGGGAACGGCGGGATCCTCACGGGCAGCGGCTGCGGGCACCACATCGACAGCGCTGACTTCGTGTTCCGGTAATTTGCCCACGCCACTCGTGGTACAGCGATGTGCCACGAGTGTGGGGCTCCGTGGTGGCTGGGAGATGTTAACTCCCTCGCCTGGTATGCAGGAGGTCGTGAGTTCGATCCTGACCCTTACGCCTGCTGTATATTTGGAGTTTGCGTGTCTCTCTTTCATCATCATCACGGTGACTAGGAGATGTTAACTCCCTCGCCTGGTATGCAGAAGGTCGTGAGTTCGATCCTGACCCTTACGCCTGCTGTATATTTGGAGTTTGCGTGTCTCTCTTTCATCATCATCACGGTGACTAGGAGATGTTAACTCCCTCGCCTGGTATGCAGGAGGTCGTGAGTTCGATCCTGACCCTGACGCCTGCTGTATATTTGGAGTTTGCGTGTCTCTCTTTCATCATCATCACGGTGACTAGGAGATGTTAACTCCCTCGCCTGGTATGCAGAAGGTCGTGAGTTCGATCCTGACCCTTACGCCTGCTGTATATTTGGAGTTTGCGTGTCTCTCTTTCATCATCATCACGGTGACTAGGAGATGTTAACTCCCTCGCCTGGTATGCAGAAGGTCGTGAGTTCGATCCTGACCCTTACGCCTGCTGTATATTTGGAGTTTGCGTGTCTCTCTTTCATCATCATCACGGTGACTAGGAGATGTTAACTCCCTCGCCTGGTATGCAGAAGGTCGTGAGTTCGATCCTGACCCTTACGCCTGCTGTATATTTGGAGTTTGCGTGTCTCTCTTTCATCATCATCACGGTGACTAGGAGATGTTAACTCCCTCGCCTGGTATGCAGAAGGTCGTGAGTTCGATCCTGACCCTGACGCCTGCTGTATATTTGGAGTTTGCGTGTCTCTCTTTCATCATCATCACGGTGACTAGGAGATGTTAACTCCCTCGCCTGGTATGCAGAAGGTCGTGAGTTCGATCCTGACCCTTACGCCTGCTGTATATTTGGAGTTTGCGTGTCTCTCTTTCATCATCATCACGGTGACTAGGAGATGTTAACTCCCTCGCCTGGTATGCAGAAGGTCGTGAGTTCGATCCTGACCCTGACGCCTGCTGTATATTTGGAGTTTGCGTGTCTCTCTTTCATCATCATCACGGTGACTAGGAGATGTTAACTCCCTCGCCTGGTATGCAGAAGGTCGTGAGTTCGATCCTGACCCTTACGCCTGCTGTATATTTGGAGTTTGCGTGTCTCTCTTTCATCATCATCACGGTGACTAGGAGATGTTAACTCCCTCGCCTGGTATGCAGAAGGTCGTGAGTTCGATCCTGACCCTTACGCCTGCTGTATATTTGGAGTTTGCGTGTCTCTCTTTCATCATCATCACGGTGACTAGGAGATGTTAACTCCCTCGCCTGGTATGCAGAAGGTCGTGAGTTCGATCCTGACCCTTACGCCTGCTGTATATTTGGAGTTTGCGTGTCTCTCTTTCATCATCATCACGGTGACTAGGAGATGTTAACTCCCTCGCCTGGTATGCAGAAGGTCGTGAGTTCGATCCTGACCCTTACGCCTGCTGTATATTTGGAGTTTGCGTGTCTCTCTTTCATCATCATCACGGTGACTAGGAGATGTTAACTACCTCTCTTGGTATACAGGAGGTCATGAGTTCGATCCTGACCCTGACGCCTGCTGTATATTTGGAGTTTGCGTCTCTCTCTCATTATCATGGTGGCTAGGAGATGTTAACTACCTCGCCTGGTATACAGAAGGTCATGAGTTCGATCCTGACCCTGACGCCTGCTGTATATTTGGAGTTTGCGTCTCTCTCTCATTATCATGGTGGCTAGGAGATGTTAACTATCTCGCCTGGTATACAGGAGGTCGTGAGTTCGATCCTGACCCTGATGCCTGTTGCTGCTGTATATTTGGAGTTTGCGTGTCTCTCTCTCATCATCATCACGGTGGCTGGGAGATGTTAACTCCCTCGCCTGGTATGCAGAAGGTCGTGAGTTCGATCCTGACCCTTACGCCTGCTGTATATTTGGAGTTTGCGTGTCTCTCTTTCATCATCATCACGGTGACTAGGAGATGTTAACTCCCTCGCCTGGTATGCAGAAGGTCGTGAGTTCGATCCTGACCCTTACGCCTGCTGTATATTTGGAGTTTGCGTGTCTCTCTTTCATCATCATCACGGTGACTAGGAGATGTTAACTCCCTCGCCTGGTATGCAGAAGGTCGTGAGTTCGATCCTGACCCTTACGCCTGCTGTATATTTGGAGTTTGCGTGTCTCTCTTTCATCATCATCACGGTGACTAGGAGATGTTAACTCCCTCGCCTGGTATGCAGAAGGTCGTGAGTTCGATCCTGACCCTTACGCCTGCTGTATATTTGGAGTTTGCGTGTCTCTCTTTCATCATCATCACGGTGACTAGGAGATGTTAACTCCCTCGCCTGGTATGCAGGAGGTCGTGAGTTCGATCCTGACCCTTACGCCTGCTGTATATTTGGAGTTTGCGTGTCTCTCTTTCATCATCATCACGGTGACTAGGAGATGTTAACTACCTCTCTTGGTATACAGGAGGTCATGAGTTCGATCCTGACCCTGACGCCTGCTGTATATTTGGAGTTTGCGTCTCTCTCTCATTATCATGGTGGCTAGGAGATGTTAACTACCTCGCCTGGTATACAGAAGGTCATGAGTTCGATCCTGACCCTGACGCCTGCTGTATATTTGGAGTTTGCGTCTCTCTCTCATTATCATGGTGGCTAGGAGATGTTAACTATCTCGCCTGGTATACAGGAGGTCGTGAGTTCGATCCTGACCCTGATGCCTGTTGCTGCTGTATATTTGGAGTTTGCGTGTCTCTCTCTCATCATCATCACGGTGGCTGGGAGATGTTAACTCCCATGCCTGGTATGCAGAAGGTCGTGAGTTCGATCCTGACACCTGCTGCTGTATATTTGGAGTTTGCGTGTCTCTTTCTCTCATCATCATGGTGGCTAGGAGATGTTAACTACCTCGCCTGGTATACAGGAGCTCATGGGTTCGATCCCTACCCTGACGCCTGCTGCTGTATATTTGGAGTTTGCGTGTGTTTCTCCCCATGGACACGTGGATTTTTCTCCGGGTCGTCCGGTTTTCCCCCCCACATTTAGAATCAATATTTGGCTGCTATAAATGTCCACGTGATGATAAGCCACTTCGTTGAGCTATCATTTGTGGCTGGATCGCTTCTGAAAAAGAGCTACATAGCTCGTTGGGCCTTACCTGGTGAAATAAAAATATTTTTTAATAGTTTAGTGCGGTGTCCCCTCGCCGCTCACGGTCCAGTCACGAGCACACGCCTCGCGCGTCGGCCGGCACGACCATGCGAGGGTGACGATGGCCTCGCATGGTCAGTGAAGAGAGAGACGGTTTAGAGGTTCAACCAAAACACTGCCCCGCTCGTCATTAACAACGTACGCACGTTGAACCCCCCTTTCGCACCGTACGTAGTCAACTGTGCTTATCGGAGGTGCAGGGGAAGGACAACAAATGAAAGACAAAAAGCAGTTCTAGAGAAATGCGTTTGTCAATCTCGATGATTTAAAAGCGCACAGCTCCTAGTGGCTTCCTCATATCGTGTGCAGCCATCAGCGGGAAAACACACAACAGACAACGTTTCGGGCAATGGGCCTTGCACGTGGATGATGAGAGTTGGAGACCGCACTTTTTTTTATGTTTCCTGATGACACCAGTTTCTAAACAGGCACATGAACAATTATCTAATTAGAAAATCAACCCCCCCGCCTCCCCCCCCGAATCTGAGAGTGGGGTGATGAGGAGTGAGGTGAGGAGGGGGGTGAGGAGTAGAAGGGGATTCTGGTGAGAGAGTGGGGTGAGGAGGAGTGAGGAGAGGAGGGGGGGGTCCCTGTATGATCTCTGCTTGTGCCCGCAGGTGCAACCTGCCGCCCCTGCAGGAGGAGTTCACTCAAGACGTGGGCTCCAGAACCGACCTGGTCACGATCAACCCCAGCATCATCAGCGACAGGTGAGCGGGTGGTGAGCGAGCGGTGCAGATGGTGAGCAAGCGGTGTGGGTGGTGAGCCACCGGTATGGGTGGTGAGCGAGCGGGGCGGGTGGTGAGCGAACGGTGCGGGTGGTGAGCGAACGGTGCGGGTGGTGAGCGAGCGGGGCGGGTGGTGAGCGAGCGGGGCGGGTGGTGAGCGAGTGGAGCGGGTGGTGAGCGAACGGTATGAGTGGTGAGCGAGCGGGGCGGGTGGTGAGCGAACGGTGCGGGTGGTGAGCGAACGGTGCGGGTGGTGAGCGAGCGGGGCGGGTGGTGAGCGAGCGGGGTGGGTGGTGAGCGAGTGGAGCGGGTGGTGAGCGAACGGTACGAGTGGTGAGCGAGCGGGGCGGGTGGTGAGCGAGCGGGGCGGGTGGTGAGCGTGCGGTGCGGGTGGTGAGCGAGCGGTGCGGGTGGTGAGCGAGTGGAGCGGGTGGTGAGCGAGTGGAGCGGGTGGTTAGCGAACGGTACGAGTGGTGAGCGAGCGGGGCGGGTGGTGAGCGAACGGTGTGGGTGGTGAGCGCGCAGGTTTGAGCGTCTGGAGAGGAGGCGGCGGCCGTTCGCGGAGGCGCTGGAGGTGTACGGGAACGCGTCGCTCGTGCTGCCTGCGTTCTACGTGGGGCGCAACACCGAGCTCGCGCTGCGCGTGCGCTACACGGTGCGCCGCCAACGCACCACCACCCCCTCCCACCCCCTCACCCCATCGCCACCCCCACTCGGCGTCTCCGTCGCGTGCGTCCGCGGGGTGGGTAACACGTCGCGTCCTCTCCGCCCCCGCTCCCCCCCCACCAGATGGAGGACCTGGGCCTGCCGCGGCCCGTGCTCTTCTTCCACCCGGCGTACCTGGCGAGCGTGGGCGCCTTCTGGCGCGCCCGCGGGGTCCGCGCGCGCCGCCTCTCCAGCGGCCTCATGGTGGCGAGCGCGGCGCTGGAGCTGTGCCGCGAGGTGCACGCCTACGGCTTCTGGCCCTTCGGCGTGGGCGCGCGCGGCGACTCGCTGGCGCACCACTACTACGACGACGCCAAGCCGCGGCCCGGCTTCCACGCCATGCCCGCCGAGACCGTGCACCTCATGCACCTGCATGCCCGCGGCACGCTGCATCTGCACACGGAGCCCTGCCCCGCCCGCTGAGACGCACGCTCGCGTACGCGTACGCTCACACTCGCCAAGGCACGCGCGCTCACACACGTGAAGTCACACACGCACAAAGGCACACACGCTCACACAGGTGAAGGCACGCGCGTTCACGAACGTGAAGTCACGCACGAAGGCACACACGCTCATGAAGGCACACACGTGAAGGCACACACGTGAAGGCACACACGCACACACGCACACACGCACGAAGGAAAACACATGCACACACACGTGAAGTCACACACGTACGAAGGCACACACGCTCACACACGTGAAGTCACACACGCACGAAGGCACACATGCACACACACGAAGGCACACATGCACACGCACCAAGGCACACATGCACATACACGCACCAAGGCACACATGCACACACACGCACCAAGGCACACATGCACACACACGCACCAAGGCACACATGCACACACACGAAGGCAAACACAAGGGGGACTCATGCACCCTACCACACTCGGCGCTGCGCTGGACTCTTAATTTATTATTCTCGCGACATCGCGGGGATACGAGGAGGAGGAGGAGAGGTACTGCTGCTGCCGCTTTACACGACTATGCAAGCGCTCGGGCATGCGGGCGCAGTGCCCGTGTCACCGTCCTGTGTTCCCTCGCCTCCCGTTGTGTCCCGTGCTTCATCTCGCCACGTGTCCGGCTTGCTTCCGTGTCTTGTCACGTGCTTAGGGTTGCCGCCTGTCCACGTTTGACCCGGTACAGTCCGGAGAACTTGCATTTGTGTTGGGGTGGCAGGATTTGATTGGTATCGAGATCTGCTACCGGTCTTGTGCCGAACCTCATCACAGAGGACCGCTGCACAGTTTTGGTAATAGATGCTCGTGGATAAATCTGCCTGGGTTTAGTTCTGCAGTGGATAGAGGTGGTGACCCTACATGCTGCTACGTATATTGAACTGTTTTTCGCACCGGTACGTAGCCAACCGTGCTCTTCGGAGGTGCAATGGTCCCACGCGTTTGCCCCGTCGCTGTTTGTTGCAATCGAGGACTCGAGAGGCGTGTCCCCGGTGACGCGGTACAGCGCGTGCCGCTAGCGCGGCGCTACGGTGAGCGGCGCGCTTGGACCTGCATGCAATCCAGAGGTTGCCCGGCATGGCAGTTAAAAAACGAATGGAGCAAGTTTCTGAAATCCCCCCCCTCACCGCCACCCACCCTGTCCAGCCAGCAGTATACATGGTTGATTGGCAGCTGGCGTGTGTAGGGGCAATGCGTGGGTACGGCTACCTCTTCCGACAGTCTGGTCGACGTGGAAGAGTTGTCTCTAGCGGTGGCTCGGAGCAGCTCGTGGGCTCAAGAGTTGAGCCCACGGGATACGTGAGGATTGGAGTTCAGGTCGACAGAGTGCTGGCCGATGATTGTGGTTCGTAGTAATAATAGTCGCGTCAACTTGTCACGCACCCGACGCACAATATTTGTTGTCGGAGAGAACCACAGCCTTGCGAGAAGGCAAGCAGCCAGGCGATGAGCCAAGCTAATGTTGCCCTCTGTATATTGAGGTGTCATCGGCCAATTAATGACTGTTTACATGTGGGAGGAAACTGGGAGCACCCCAGAGAAAAACCCACGCGTGCGAAGGGGCAACACTCGATTCCGTGCATACGGCTGAGAGGGAAATTATTTCACGTTTTGTCGTACCGCATTTCCGGTGACCCAGGGACACGGCTTCCTCCTCGACTCCCACGGGAAGGGAGTTTCACAACATTCGTGCGACCCGCCGACCCTCGCTGCCTCCACAGTGCTTGGCTTTACAGGCCATGTGCGGAGCCAGCAGCCTCCGCTGCTGGCTCGTGGTGCCGGTCGTGATTGACGGCTCCCATCGTGGACGACGATCGTGGTTGGCGACGATGGTGATCGTGGTTCACGACGATGATCGTGGTTGATGATGATCGTGGTTGACCATGATCGTTTGAGGACGATGATCGTGGTTGACCATGATAGTGGTTGACCATGATCGTGGTTGACGACGATGATCGTGGTTGACGATGATCATGGTTGACCATGATCGTTTGAAGACGATGATCATGGTTGACCATGATCGTGGTTCACGACGATGATCGTGGTTCACGACGATGATCGTGGTTCACGACGATGATCGTGGTTGACCATGATCGTGGTTGACGACGATGATCGTGGTTGACGATGATCGTGGTTGACCATGATCATGGTTGACCATGATCGTGGTTCACGACGATGATCGTGGTTCACGACGATGATCGTGGTTGACCATGATCGTGGTTGACGACGATGATCGTGGTTGACGACGATGATCGTGGTTGACCATGATGATCGTGGTTGACCATGATCGTGGTTGACCATGATCGTGGTTGACCATGATGATCGTGGTTGACCATGATGATCGTGGTTGACCATGATCGTGGTTGACCATGATCGTGGTTGACAACCATGGTTGACCATGATCGTGGTTGATGATGATCGTGGTCGACGACGATCATCGCGGTTGCATGAGAAGAAGCCGTTCCGCTGTGCCGTGCGGCGTGTCAAATTTGCACTCGGCGTAGCTGACACTGTACAGCAACTTATTGTGTTTATATAACAAAGAGAATGTTCGTTAGGATGCCGCGCGTCGTTATTTATGCTGTGTGTCTATCGTTCGCTTGTCCCCGTCTCGTCCCTGTCTCGTCCCGCCACGTGTGGAGCTCCGTGGGGAGAGGCGAGCGCGTCGCTCCCGTGCGTGTGTCGCACTGTGGGGGGGAACACGCGAGTCATAAACGTGTCACGAATTAGCGGGTGTGTCACGTCTCCCACGCTGTGTATGGGTGAGTGTGCGTATGGGTAAGTGTGTTGGTGTATGGGTGAGTGTGTAGGTGTATGGGTGAGCATCTGTATGGGTGAGTGTGTAGGTGTATGGGTGTGTGTGTGGGTGTATGGGCGAGGTTTAGGACTGTGACTCATGCAGCTGCAATGGCTGCTTTGGGTACGCGGTCCAGACCTCCCCAGAGATCCTGGCTGACAGAGGAGGTGTTCAGGATAGTTGAGAAAAAGCGACAGGCACACTCTCATCGGCTACAGCATCCCACGTCAGATAATGAGGAGGCTTACCGCAGCCTTCGCTCGGAGGTTCGGAGAGCCGTAAGGCGCTGCAAGGATGGGTGGTGGTCGTGGGTTGCGGAGGAGATGGAGTCTGCCTCAGTGGCCCGCGATCACAAATCACTATTTAACTCCATCAAAAAAGTAACCTGCAGCGCCACACCTATTAGCATCATTATGGGAAAAAATGGTGATCCAATCTCCGACCCCCAGGAACAGGTTTGCAGATTTGCTGAGCATTTTTGTGAGGTCCTGGGGAAATCCCTCAGCCAGGAAAACATCATGGCACAAAGTGGGGATAACCCTGCTGAGGCTGCGGTGCCTCAAATATTGGAAGTCACCCCCTGTGAGTGGCTGGCTGAGGTGCCATCTGTTGAAAAAGTACTGAAGGTCGATCCGTAATCTGAGACCAGGAAAGGCACCGGGCAGAGATGATCTCCCAAGCGAAATGCTGAGGGAGGGTGGCGTTTGTGCACAGACTGCCCTATATGACATCATAACAACAGCCTGGACCACTGGACGGGTTCTGCAGGATTGGAAGGATGCCCTGGTGGTCCCCCTCTTTAAGAAGAGGGACCGCACAGACTGTAACAACTACAGGGGCATCTCAGTGTGATCATTAAAGACCTTCATGATGGTGAGCGGGCCCGGGCAAAACTACGTGGCTGGGAGTCAGAGCCATTCCCTGTACACCTTGGGGTGCGACAGGGATGTCCTCTGACTCCCACATTATTTAACATCTATTTTGACCACGTAGTTCGTGAAGCCTTCAATAGCTGTACCGGGGGAATTTCCATTTTCCATTTGATATAATGGGAGGCTAATCGATGCGATCAAGGGATGGCTCCCTATTGGTCAATCACGTTATGTATGCCGATGATTTGGTAATAGCTGCTCATTCAGAGGAGGAGTTGGAGACGCTGCTGCTGAGACTGGAGCGTGCCACTAAGAGGTGGGGCCTTACCATCAGCCCCACCAAAACTAAACACCTGCATGGGTATTTTGTACCATCGGACACTCCACCCACACAATTCCCAATCGGTGATGGGGCAGTTTTGGAGAGAGTGGAGAGTTTCCCATACCTGGGCAGTGTGCTTATGACCGGCTCCAGTGTAATAGCAGAGGTCTCACTCAGTATCAGTCGAGCGTAACGCTGTGTGGAAGCTACCTGGTCTGTCGCTCCGCACGAAGCTTCAGGTCTTCTCGGCCAAAGTCATTCCCTCCCTTCTCTACTCTTGCGAAACGTGGACCCCCCTAATGGAACATCTTCGCCGGTTAGAAACTTTTAGGCTGGCCTGCCCACGATCCATCCTGGGGTTAACCTGCAGGCTGGATTGTGTGAGGAGCTCACAAATCCTTGAAAGATCTGGGCAAAGTCCCATCGGTGAGCTCCTCCGTCAGTCATGAAGCCCGCATGCCCAGCCACCGCATGCCTAAACAGCTTTTGTTCGGCCAGATAGAGGGGGCTAAACGGGCATGGCACGGGCTAGAGAAGAGATGGAGTGATGTGGTACAGGAGGATGTGGAGCTGAGTTGACTTGCCGATGACTGGTACCTGCGGTGTCAAGATCGGCCTCTGTGGAGGAGGCTCGTGAAGGACGCTACTGGGCAGTTGGAGGCAGTCGCCCTCCAACAACAACGGAGGAGCGACGCTCACAACAACGAGCGGAGCGCCGGATGGCTAAAGCACAGCAAGTTGGCACAGTAGGGGGCACAGGTGGTGCATCAGCCAGTCATCTAGGTCATCTCAGTTAGTCGACCCGTGGCACCTGGGTCTGCCCCGTGATCTCCTGCCAGCGGGTGTTCGACACTTCACGTGGCCTCAAGGTGCACATGGCCTGGCACAAGCGTCGTGGTGACGTCACCGCGAATGGCGGTTGTTGTTGTTGGGTGGGTGGGGTAGGTGTGTAGGTGTCTGGGTCTCGCGAGACGTGCACAGTTGGTGGTCTACAGTTGGCACTTCGGGCGCGCCATGAAGTCCTCACGGCTCCTGCTGCTGCTGCTGATCATGGAGCTCTTCACGGCGACGGCGGCGGAACGCGCCCATACCAGGTGCCCTCACCAGCTCACCTCCACTCACCAGCTCACCTCCACTCACCAGCTCACCTCTACTCACCTCCACTCACCCCACTCACCTCCACTCGGCAGCTCACCTCCACTCACCTCCACTCACCTCTACTCACCTCCACTCACCCCGCTCACCTCCACTCAGCAGCTCACCTCCACTCACCAGCTCACCTCCACTCACCTCCACTCACCTCTATTCACCCCCACTCACCAGCTCACCTCCACTCACCCCACTCACCAGCTCACCTCCACTCACCAGCTCACCTCAACTCACCAGCTCACCTCCACTCACCAGCTCACCTCCACTCACCTCCACTCACCTTCACTCACCAGCTCACCTCCATTCACCCCCACTCACCCCGCTCACCCCCACTCACCCCGCTCACCTTCACTCACCAGCTCACCTTCACTCACCTCCACTCACCTCCACTCACCTTCACTCACCTCCACTCACCAGCTCACCTCCGCTCACCCCGCTCACCTCCACTCACCTCCACTCACCTCGCTCACCCCGCTCACCTCCACTCACCTCCACTCACCCCGCTCACCCCCTCACCTCCACTCACCCCACTCACCTCCACTCACCCCCTCACCTCCACTCACCCCCTCACCTCCACTCACCCCCTAACCTCCACTCACCTCCACTCACCCCGCTCACCCCCTCACCCCGCTCACCCCCTCACCTCCACTCACCCCACTCACCTCCACTCACCCCCTCACCTCCACTCACCTCCACTCACCCCGCTCACCCCCTCACCCCGCTCATCCCCTCACCTCCGCTCACCCCGCTCACCTCCGCTCACCCCGCTCACCTCCGCTCACCCCGCTCACCTCCGCTCACCAGCTCACCTCCGCTCTCCCCCTCACCTCCACTCACCCCGCTCACCTCCACTCACCAGCTCACCTCCGCTCACCCCCTCACCTCCACTCACCCCGCTCACCTCCACTCACCAGCTCACCTCCGCTCACCAGCTCACCTCCACTCACCCCGCTCACCTCCACTCACCAGCTCACCTCCGCTCACCCCCTCACCTCCACTCACCCCGCTCACCTCCACTCACCAGCTCACCTCCGCTCACCCCCTCACCTCCACTCACCCCGCTCACCTCCACTCACCAGCTCACCTCCGCTCACCAGCTCACCTCCACTCACCCCGCTCACCTCCGCTCACCAGCTCACCTCCGCTCACCCCCTCACCTCCGCTCACCCCGCTCACCTCCGCTCACCAGCTCACCTCCGCTCACCAGCTCACCTCCACTCACCGCGCTCACCCCGCTCACCTCCACTCACCTCCACTCACCCCGCTCACCCCGCTCACCCCCTCACCTCCACTCACCCCACTCACCCCCTCACCTCCACTCACCTCCACTCACCCCGCTCACCCCCTCACCCCGACTCAGGAAGTATTTTTCTGGGCCCCAGGGCTCGTGGTCCCACGACAGTCCCGGCGACGATCTGAATCGGTCGTGGACCTCCCTTAGGTGAACTCGGCCTTAAAAAGGGGGGGGGGGTACCTGTAAATGGTGGGCCCCCCCGCCATCACGCCATCAGCTCCCGGGTGGGGGGGGCGGGCGTGTGGTGGCAGCCACGCGCCTCCTGGTGGCGCGGCAGCGCTGTCTGCATTGGCGAGGGGGGTGTGGGTGTGTGTTTGCGTGTGTGTGGGTGTGTGTTTGCGTGTGTGTGTGTGTTTGCGTGCGTGTGTGTAGGTGCGTGTGTGTGCGGGTGTGTAGGGGTGTGTGTGGGTGTGTGTGGGTGCGTGTGTGTGGGTGGGTGCGTGTGTGTGTGCGTGTAGGGGTGTGTGGGTGTGGGTGCATGTGTGTAGGGGTGTGTAGGGGTGCGTGTAGGGGTGTGTGGGGTGCGTGTGTGGGGGGAGACGTGGTTTAGCGGTTAGCGCGCTGCCCTATGAACCTGGCGTCCCGGGATGATCTGAACCAGTCCCGGGCCTCCCCTAGGTCGACTCATCCTCAAATGAGTACCTGGGGCGGTGTGTAAACATCGTCACTCGGGAGACAAAGGCGGCCGGGCGTGGTGTTGGCCACCAAACCCCCTCGTGTGACGTGCCGGCCTTCATAGGTGCTGCTCGCTAACAGCACTTGCCCCGACAGTCTGTTAAGGCTACACGGGGGATCTTTGTCTTTGTGGGGAGCGGCAGTGTAGTGGTCAGCGCGCTACGATTCCCGCTCACGGCCAACACCAGTGACGATTATCTGAACCGGTCCTGGGCCTCCCCTAGGTCGACTCGGCCTCAAAACGGGTGCGGTGTGCAATAAACATCGCCACTGGGGAGACAAAGGCGGTCGGGCGAGGGAGCTGGTCCATCCCGCGTGATGTCCCGGCCTCCGTAGCCGCTGCCTCGCCCCCTTCTTTTGGATGAACAGCAGCAGATGATCTTCTTGGTTCTTTCGGTAAAGTCACGTAGAAGGGTAAAAATAAAATAATAAAACATAATAAAATACAATTCTCACGACGTTTCGGCCACAACGCAAGCAGCCGTCCTCATGTGAAGAACAGGTCTGTCGGAAAGACAGCGTCTGAATGAACACCACCACGCTTGGCAGCGTATATTTAAGCTGGGTTGGAGGGGGAAGGGCGCCTTGACAAATGAATTTGCATATCAAGAGGAATTTAGCATATTTATGGAAAATGCTGATATGTGATTAGTCACTACTTGTGGAATGCGTAGGAGGTGGGGGGGGGGGGTCTCAAAGTCATATTATGCCCGTGCATTATGTAGGATTAGCAGCATCGAAGGGAGGGAGTAGGATTAGCAGTAATAAAGGGAAGGTATTTTAATAGTAAGGAGCTGCAGCAGCAGATGAATTGTGTCATTTTAGATGTGTCCACTCAATTGTCTTGCCCCACCCCCCCAAACGCTCTGAGTAAGGCTGCTGTATTGGGGGTCGATCTTTGTCTCTCGCAGCCTGCACGGAAACTGGCTGCTCCTGAACATGAGGGCACGCAGGGACCAGCGGCCCTACCTGACCGACAGTAAGACGACTGCATCGCGCACACTAAATCATAGATACTGTGTGGTTTTCATCTTACTATATATTGTGTTGTTTTCATCTCACTATATATTGTGTTGTTTTCATCTCACTATATATTGTGTTGTTTTAATCTCACTATATATTGTGTTGTTTTCATCTCACTATATATTGTGTTGTTTTCATCTCACTATATATTGTGTTGTTTTCATCTCACTATATATTGTTGTTTTCATCTCACAAGGTAAGGCGCCACTGAGCGATGTCCTTGGCCATCACGAATGACAGCTAAACGCAGTTGGCTTATCATCATCATGTGGAGAATGTTTGCAGCTAAAATACTCTGAAATGCGTGATGTCAACTCAATATACAGCAGCAGGCGTCAGGGTCGGGATCGAACCCACGACCTCCTGTATACCAGGCGAGGGAGTTAACATCTCCTAGCCACCGTGGTGATGGTGGTGGAACCCACGACCTCCTGCAAACCAGGCGAGGGAGTTAACATCTCGCGTGGCCACCGCAGTTAAAAATTATTTATCCCGCAGCGGAGCGAGCAACAATCTCGCCACCACGGCATCTCCACGCCACGACACGTGCGTGTGTGGTGTTGTGTGTGGTGTTGTGTGTGTGGTGTGTGTGGTGTGTGTGGTGTGTTGTGTGTGTGTGGTGTGTTGTGTGTGGTGTGTTGTGTGTGGTGTTGTGTGTGTGGTGTGTGCGCGTGTGGTGTGTTGTGTGTGTGGTGTATGCGCGTGTGGTGTAGTGGTTAGCGCGCTCTCACTCTCCCCTCTCTCTCACTCTCCTCTCTCTCACTCTCCCCCTCTCTCACTCTGCTCACTCTCACTCTCCTCACTCTCCCCCCTCTCTCACTCTCCCCCCTCTCTCACTCTCTCTGACTCTCCTCACGCTCTCACTCTCCCCTCTCACTCTCCTCACTCACTCTCCTCACTCTCTCACTCCCCCCTCTCTCACTCTCCCCTCTCTCTCACTCTCTCTCCTCACTCTCTCTCACTCACTCTCCTCACTCACTCTTTCACTCTGCTCACTCTCCCCTCCAGACTTCGGAGCGAAACCTCTGCAGCTGACCCCGCGGCGCCCGAGTGGAACCGATGACGGCCGACAGCCTCGCCTCGCTCCGCCACCGCCGCCGCAGTGACTCCGTTTATTCACGTGGCTGCAGCAAACGCGGCCGCAGCAAACGCGGACGCTTACACTCAAGACGCGTTCAATAGCGCCTCCGGCACCTCGCAATCGTCACACGACTCACAAATAATAATACTACGACGAATAATAATAAAGTCAAAAAATACCCGGGAATGATATTCAGAGTGCGTGGCGGTCACGAGGTGCTACAGGATGAGCCAGAGAACGCAGGGCGAGGGGCAGAGGTGGCACGGATCGGTACGGATCGGCGTTCATACCCCCTGCGCGCCTCACCCAGCGCGCCTCACCCCACGCTCCTCACCCCGTGCTCCTCACCCCACGTGCCTCACCCCGCGCCGAGAGACACCGAGCCCCGCTCCGAAACCGTCAGCAGAAGTACAACGTCAGCGGTGGGGAGAAGGGGGCTGAGGCGTCCATCAGGGGTGGCCAAGGGTGTCCAGGTACGGCGAGGCGGCCGTGGCGGAGAGGGCACGGAACGCTTGGGGGCACGGCAAGGTGGCCGAGGCAAAGCTAATGAGGGTGGCCAATAGTACGACACAAAAGGCAAGCGTCCCCCGTGTAGCCTTCAACAGAGTGGAGGGGCAAGTGCTGTTAGCGAGCACCTGTGAAGGCCGGCTCGGCACACGAGGGGGTGGGTGGCCAGCACCACGCCCGGCCGCCTTTGTCTCCCCAGTGGCGATTTTTAAGCACCGTACCGGGTACTCATTTGAGGCTGAGTCGACCTACGGGAGGCCCAAGACCGGTTCAGATAATCGTCACCGGCGTTGACCGTGAGCAGGAATCGAACTCGGGTCCTCGGGTTCGTAGCGCAGCGTAGCGCCAACCGCTACACCACCGCTCCCCAAGAGTACAACAAAGACGTGCACGTAGGCGCACGCACACACACACATATCGACATAAGCCCACACGTACGCACGCACACACACACATCGACATAAGCACACACGTACGCACACAGCAACGCACTTAGCAGCTACGTGAAGCAGACGCGCACGTACAAGAACAACACGCGCTGGCACACCGGCACACAGACACGCAGACACGCAAACCACGGGGACGCGCAGACACACGGACACACGGACACGCGGACGGGCGGGCTACAACCCCGTCTGGGCCCGGCGGTCCTCGCTGAAGAATCCGCGCAGCAGCAGCACCTGCCCGGCGCCCACGAGCAGCAGCAGCGCCGTCTCGCCCAGCGACCAGAGCGCCACGCGCGTGCGCAGCTCCTCGGCACGCGCGCGGCCCTGGCTCTCGCGCAGCCGGTGGTGCGTCTGGTAGTCCAGCGTCGCACGCAGGCCCTCGTGGATGCTCACGCACGATGACTCCATCTGCGCGGGGCGGGGTGGGGGGCAATGTTGGTGGGTGGTTGTGTGTTTGGGTGGTTGTGGAGGGTGGTTGTGGAGGGTGGTTGTGAGTGGTGGTGCTTGTGAGTAGTGGTGCTTGTTGGTGCAGGGTGGTGGTTGTGAGTGGTGGTGGTTGTGAGTGGTGGTGGTTGTGAGTGGTGGTGATTGTGAGTGGTGGTGGTTGTGAGTGGTGGTGGTTGTTGGTGCTTGTTGGTGCAGGGTGAGTGGTGGTGGTTGTGAGTGGTGGTTGTTGTGAGTGGTGGTTGTTGTGAGTGGTGGTGGTTGTGAGTGGTGGTTGTTGTGAGTGGTGGTGGTTGTGAGTGGTGGTTGTTGTGAGTGGTGGTGGTTGTGAGTGGTGGTGGTTGTGAGTGGTGGTGGTTGTGAGTGGTGGTGGTTGTGAGTGGTGGTTGTTGTGAGTGGTGGTTGTTGTGAGTGGTGGTGGTTGTGAGTGGTGGTGCTTGTTGGTGCTTGTTGGTGCAGGGTGAGTGGTGGTGGTTGTGAGTGGTGGTTGTTGTGAGTGGTGGTTGTTGTGAGTGGTGGTGGTTGTGAGTGGTGGTTGTTGTGAGTGGTGGTGGTTGTGAGTGGTGGTGGTTGTGAGTGGTGGTGGTTGTGAGTGGTGGTGGTTGTGAGTGGTCGTGCTTGTTGGTGCAGGGTGAGTGGTGGTGGTTGTGAGTGGTGGTTGTTGTGAGTGGTGGTGGTTGTGAGTGGTGGTGGTTGTGAGTGGTGGTGCTTGTTGGTGCAGGGTGGTGGTTGTGAGTGGTGGTGGTTTTGAGTGGTGGTGGTTGTGAGTGGTGGTGGTTGTGAGTGGTGGTGGTTGTGAGTGGTGGTGCTTGTTGGTGCAGGGTGGTGGTTGTGAGTGGTGGTGGTGGTGAGTGGTGGTTGTTGTGAGTGGTGGTGGTGGTGAGTGGTGGTTGTTGTGAGTGGTGGTGGTTGTGAGTGGTGGTGGTTGTGAGTGGTGGTTGTTGTGAGTGGTGGTGGTTGTGAGTGGTGGTGGTGGTGAGTGGTGGTTGTTGTGAGTGGTGGTGGTTGTGAGTGGTGGTGGTTGTGAGTGGTGGTGGTTGTGAGTGGTGGTTGTTGTGAGTGGTGGTGGTTGTGAGTGGTGGTGCTTGTTGGTGCAGGGTGGTGGTTGTGAGTGGTGGTGGTGGTGAGTGGTGGTTGTTGTGAGTGGTGGTTGTTGTGAGTGGTGGTGGTTGTGAGTGGTGGTGGTTGTGAGTGGTGGTTGTTGTGAGTGGTGGTTGTTGTGAGTGGTGGTGGTTGTGAGTGGTGGTGGTGGTGAGTAGTGGTGCTTGTTGGTGCAGGGTGGTGGTTGTGAGTGGTGGTGGTTGTGAGTGGTGGTTGTTGTGTGTGGTGGTGGTTGTGAGTGGTGGTGCTTGTTGGTGCAGGGTGGTGGTTGTGAGTGGTGGTGGTTGTGAGTGGTAGTTGTTGTGAGTAGTAGTGGTGGTTGTGAGTAGTAGTGGTGGTTGTGAGTGCTGGTGGTGCTTGCGAGTAGTGGTGGTGGTGGTGCTCGTTGTGGCTGGTGGTGGTGGCGGTGTTTGAGGCCCCCACCTGGGTGAGCGCCGTGACGCGGCGGCCCATCTCGGGCACGAGCGGGGCCTCGTCCCCGACCTGCAGCTCAAAGTAGACCGTCTTGTGCGAGAAGGTCGAGAACTCGTTGGAGAAGCAGAAGCTGTGGAGGCCGCCGCGCTCGCTCGTCCACGCGAAGCTGTCGTGCTGCTTGCGCGTCTCCGTGTAGAGCACGCCGCCCTCGGGGTCCTCCAGACGGCAGTCCACGTCGTAGTGGCCCCCCGTGATCACCTGGCGCGTCACGCGAGGACGTCAGCCGCCTCGCCTGGTATACAGGAGGGTTCGATCCCGACGCTGACGATGCCTGCCGCTGTACGTTTGGAGTCCGTGTTGTCTCTCTCTCTCTCCGTCGAGAGATGTTGACTACCTCGCCTGGTATACAGGAGGGTTCGATCCCGACCCTGACGATGCCTGCCGCTGTACGTTTGGAGTTTGTGTTGTCTCTCTCCGTCGAGAGATGTTGACTACCTCGCCTGGTATACAGGAGGGTTCGATCCCGACCCTGACGATGCCTGCCGCTGTACGTTTGGAGTTTGCGTGTCTCTCTCTCTCCACGGCGAGATGTTAACTACCTCGCCTGGTGTACAGGAGGTCGTGAGTTAATTCCAGACCCTGACGCCTGCTGCTGTATATTTGGAGTTTGCGTGTCTCTCTCTCATCATCATCATGGTGGCTAGGAGATGTTAACTACCTCGCCTGGTATACAGGAGCTCATGGGTTCGATCCCTACCCTGACGCCTGCTGCTGTATATTTGGAGTTTGCGTGTGTTTCTCCCCATGGACACGTGGATTTTTCTCCGGGTCGTCCGGTTTCCCCCCCACATTTATAATCAATATTTGGCTGCTATAAATGTCCACGCGACGATAGGCCACTTCGTTGGGCTATTATTTGTGATAGCCATGTTGCTTCTGAAACAGAGCTGTGTAGCTCAGTGGGGCCTTATCTCGTCGGATAAGAATTTGTTTAAATGTTTTAGAGGCATCTCCTATCGACTGGCCCTCACCTCGATTCCAGCCCCCCCCCCCCCCGCCGTTCTACTTAATTAAATAGACTTTTTGATGTTTTCTCCTACAACATCAGAGTGCAGCGCCACATTAAATACGCACTACAATGACAATAGTTTAAAGAGATCTGAAGCATGTTTTATTTTTTTGGTGGGGGGGGGGGGGGCAGAGCTTTGTGACGTCATATTTGAGGGGGGGGGTCTGACTTTTTGTGACGCCGTGTGACGAGGGAAGGGGGGGTTAAAAATTGTCCAAAATCGCGTGACGTCATTTATGGACGGCCCCAAAGGTGACTCAAGTGGCTAATAACGTAAAAACATTTAAAAAAATGTATTTCACCAGGTAAGGCTCACCGAGATATTAGCTTATTTGGCCATCACGAACGACAGCTCAACGAAAGTGAGCTCACGTCATCATCGTCATCGCGTGCACATTTACGGAATAGGGGGTCCGTAACCTTTCAAGGAAGAAGAAGAGCCATTATTATTATTTAGTTATTGACAAAATAGTTTGGAGAGCCGCACGACACGCGCAGAGCTGCTTGTACACAGACACAGCAGCCGACAATAACAACAACATTCTGACTTAAACTAAACAAGTGGTGAATTAAACTGTTTCTAGATTAGAAGTTTCCGTGACTGCAAGGATTTTTTCGGTAAAGTCACGTGGGTAGAAATATAAAATAAATTAAAAATGAAAACAAATAAATGAAATCACGACGTTTCGGGCGCAACACAAGCGTCCTTCCTCAGGTGTTGCGCCCGAAACGTCGTGATTTTCATTTATTTGGTTTTAATTTCGATTTAAAGCTTTCGTGACTGCAGGGATTCATCTTCTTGGTTCTTTCGGTAAAGTCACGTAGAAGGGAAGTAATAAAATAATAAAAATAAAACATAATAAAACAATTCTCACGACGTTTCGGCCACAACGCAAGCAGCCGTCCTCAGGTGAAGAACAGGTCTGTCGAGGCGACAGACGCTGTCGCCTAGGTTATTTGGATAATTTGGTTTTATTTTTTATTTATTTCATATTTTTACCTAATAAACTTTTGTCTACTCGGCTGTTTCCCTCCCCCCCCACCACATTCGTTGCTCTGTAACAACAACGCAGTTTGTGACCAAGACATTGCACAGTGACCCACGTTACGTCATCAAGTATCTTGACGTTAAATTGCGTTTAGAGATTCAAGGTTTTTATTTAAAAACCGATCTTCTCGCGCAAGGTGGCACCGCGTGCCTCGCTCCAGAGCCGCGGGTTGACAACCCCGAGGGTGGTGGACCCCTTCACCCCCCCCCTGTCCCCCTGACCTCCTGACCCCAGGGCCCCCTTCACCACCCCCCCGATCCCCTGACCTCCTCACCCCGGGGACCCCTTCACCCCCCCCCTGACCTCCTCACCCCGGGGACCCCCATCACCCCCCTCCCCCTGACCTTCTGACCCCAGGGACCCCTTCACCCCCCCCCCCTTTCCCAGTGACCTCCTCACCCAGGGACCCCCTTCACCCCCCCCTTTCCCAGTGACCTCACCCAGGGACCCCCTTCACCCCAGCCTCCCCCGTCCCCCTGACCTCCTCACCCAGGGACCCCCTTCACCCCAGCCTCCCCCGTCCCCCTGACCTCCTCACCCAGGGACCCCCTTCACCCCAGCCTCCCCCGTCCCCCTGACCTCCTCACCCCAGGGCCCCCTTCGCCCTCCCCCCGACCCCGTGACCTCCTGACCCCGAGGGTGGTGGATCCCTTCACCCTTCACCCCCTCCCGTCCCCGTGACCTCCTGACCCCAGGGCCCCCTTCACCCCCCCCGACCCCGTGACCTCCTGACCCCGGCTGCCCTCACCTGGTACTCGAGCGAGGCGCGGGCCCCCGCCGCCACGTGCTGGTAGAAGCACTGCCTCGCGTTGTCGGGCAGCTCGAACGTGAGCTCCGTGGCGGAGCCCGCCGACACGCCAAGCAGCAGCAGCAGCAGCGGGGGGAGCAGGAGGTGGAGGTGGTGGAGGAGGTGGTGGAGGAGGTGGAGCGGCCATAGGGCCTGGCGCCCCCCCCCAGCACGGGGACTCACTCGGCTCCTCATGAGACCCCCCCGGCTCAGCGCATCCAGTAGTGACCCCCTCACCCCGCTCCCACTCACTCACTCACTCACCCCCTCACCTCCTCACTCAACCCCTCACCCACTCACTCACCGACTGCCTCACTCCCTCCCTCACCTCCTCACTCACCCCCTCACTCACCCCCTCACCCACCCACTCACTCACCCCCTCACTCACTCACTCACCTCCTCACTCACCCCCTCACCCACCCCCTCACCTCCTCACTCACCCACCCCCTCACCTCCTCACTCACCCACCCCCTCACCTCCTCACTCACCCTCTCACTCACCGACTGCCTCACTCACTCCCTCGCTCACCCTCTCACCTCCTCACTCACCTCCTCGCTCACCCCCTCACCTCCTCACTCACCTCCTCACTCACCCCCTCACCTCCTCACTCACCTCCTCACTCACCCTCTCACCCCCTCACTCACCCTCTCACCCACCCTCTCACCCACCCTCTCACTCACCGACTGCCTCACCTCCTCACTCACCTCCTCACTCACCTACTCACCCACCTCCTCACTCACCCTCTCACTCACCGACTGCCTCACTCACCCCCTCACTCACCTCCTCACTCACCTCCTCACTCACCCCCTCACCTCCTCACTCACCGACTGCCTCACTCACCCCCTCACCTCCTCACTCACCTCCTCACTCACCCTCTCACTCACCGACTGCCTCACTCACCCCCTCACTCACCTCCTCACTCACCTCCTCACTCACCCCCTCACCTCCTCACTCACCGACTGCCTCACTCACCCCCTCACCTCCTCACTCACCTCCTCACTCACCCTCTCACTCACCGACTGCCTCACTCACCCCCTCACTCACCTCCTCACTCACCTCCTCACTCACCCCCTCACCTCCTCACTCACCGACTGCCTCACTCACCCCCTCACCTCCTCACTCACCTCCTCACTCACCCTCTCACTCACCGACTGCCTCACTCACCCCCTCACTCACCTCCTCACTCACCTCCTCACTCACCCCCTCACCCCCTCACCTCCTCACTCACCGACTGCCTCACTCACCCCCAGCAGTACACAAATCCCCTCTGTGCTGTCCCTCTCTGCGTTGATTGACAGCGCCACGCGCATGCGCACAACCGTTCTCTCGCTGGCCCGCGCGAGGCGACGACGGCCCGTCCCACGTGACCGAGGGGCGGGGCCCCCAACGTGGCACGTCCACGTGGCGGAAGCGGCCGTGACGTCACGCGGAAAAACAAACACGTGACGTCACGGTGGCTCGTGACGTCATGCGCGGGAACGCCATTCCGGCGACGTCACTGCGGTGGGGGGGGGGGAAGGTAAACAATCGGCACTACGTCACGCCCCGCTCCGGACGTGCGCACGAATGACGTCATCCGCAAGCGTTGTGAACCCGCGTGACCCCTGCTGACCAATCGCACACACACGGGGTCTGGAGGTCGAGGGAAGCGGTCGTGCGAGTCTCCTCGGCAACAAGTCACTTCGTGAGTTACACCAACAACAACCATTCACCAACAACAACAACCATTCACCACCACCATCCACAACCATTCACCACCACCATCCACAACAACCTACAACCATCCACAACAACGCTACACACAACCACCACCACCATAACCTTCCAGAACAACAACCATTCACCAACAACAACCATTCACCACCACCATCCACAACAACCGACAACTATCCACAATAACGTCGTAATATGCTTTTATTTTAATTTATTATTTTATCTTTAGACGTGACTTAACCGAAAGAACCAAAGAATAATTCCTGCAGTCACGAAAGCTCCATAATTAAGAATAACGCTACACACAACCACCACCATAACCATCCACAACAACAACAACCATTCACCACCACCAACAACCATTCACCACCACCAACAACCACCTACAACCATCCACAACAACGCTACACACAACCAACACCATCCACAACAACAACCATTCACCACCACCACCCACCACCACCAACAACCATTCACCACCATCCACAACAACCTACAACCATCCACAACAACGCTACACACAACCACCACCATAATCATCCACAACAACAACCATTCACCACCACCAACAACCACCCACCACCAACAACCACCCACCACCGTCCACAACAACCCTACACACAACCACCACAACCATCCACAACAACCACAACCACCACCACCCACAACAACCATAACAACCCACCACATCAATCCTACACACAACCACAACCATCCCCAACACGCCCCGCAAACAAAGATCCCCCGTGTAGCCTGTAGCAGACTGTAGGGGCAAGTGCTGTGAGCGAGTAGCAGCACCACCTATGGAAGGTCGGCACGGCACACGAGGGGGTGGGTGGGTGGGCCAGCTACCACGCCCGGCCGCCTTTGTCTCCCCACTGTGAGACACAGCCACACAAACCTCACACAATCGCTCAGACAACAGCCACATCCAGTGTAGCTATCGCACGCATTTGCTGCTGCTGCGGTGTTTAGCAGTGGCGGTACGAACACAAAAACGCCACGTGGCCGTGTGGTACTGCAGCCTTGCACCCCTCCCCCCTTAGGTTATCGATAGTTAAAACAAGTAAACCCGTAAAAACAAAGTTTTTCACTATAATACTTTATATGCGTGGCATCGGGGCGGCTAGAGTCCTCTCGTCCTCTGGCTTGAGATGGCTGCCAACTATGGGTCAGATGATTGGCAGCATTAAACAATTGGTAATTAAATATTTTAAAAAAAATCCCTAAACAGTGTAAAATGTTGGAATTTTTTTCACGAAAATGCATTGTCACGCACAACGAGTCTGTGTGCAAAATGTCAGCTCGATTGGATCACGGGAAGTGGGTTAAAAAACGACCGAAAGATTTGCACGGTCCTAAGCAAGCAAGCAAGTGAACTTAATATAAAGGATTTAAAAAGTAGAACGTTAATCACTACATAGGGTTTGATGAAACAACAAAGTTTAAACGTACGTGCCCGTGTGCTTAATTTCGTGTTTTCGATTATTTGCCTTCGAAAAAAAATAAAAATCTGCCCATGTCTCGCACCTCCCCAGAAAGGGCATCTCCCACAGGCGAATAAAAACCACTGGTCTATTATATACAGCGCACTAGACGGTGGCCGACGTTTCGGCCGATGGCCTTTGTTCACAGCACGCGGAGTGCGTTGTTGTTGGGAGTTGTTGGACGACTTTGGGCGACTCATGGGCGGGTTGACGCTCGGTTCCGGGGAAGCCAAGCGGGAGGATGAGGCTGGATGCATAACGGGTGCTATAGGTGACATTGTCAACACCGCGACTGGGGAGGAAGGCCTTCATCCAGCAGTGGATCACAGTAAAGGGCCGGACACGTGCCACCCGCGAGAACAATGCACGGTGGGGGTTGTGCCCCAGTATCAGGCGCCAGTAACAGTGGTGGGGGAGGGGGTGATAGCAGCGAGGAATGCGACAATACAGCAGCAGCAGCAACAACAACGGTCGTCGCCATGCCGCGTGGCGGTCGAGGCTTGGGCCCTGACCCCTCCAGTGACCCCCTCCCCCACGGTGACCCCCTCCCCCACGTGTGACCCCACCCACGCTCCCGGGCAACCTTCCCCCTAATCCCCCCCTTTGACCCCTCCTCCCCCGTGACCCTCCCTTTATGACTCCTCCCCCGTGACCCCCACGCCCTATGACTCCTCCCTCGTGACCGCTCCCCCGTGACCCCACCCATACTTCCGGGCCCCCTTCCGATGACCCCTAACCTTTGACCCCTCCTCCCCCGTGACCCCTTTCCTATGACCCCCCCGTACAGGTCACAGCTCTCGCCATGTGGTTCCTGCTGCGCCGTGCGGCCACGCTGCGTGGGGCCGCAGCCCTGGGGCAGCGCACGGCGGCCACAGGCGGCGACGGGCCTCGGCTGCCCGTGCTCACCCTCTTCACCAGGGTGAGGCCGCACGTGCCCCGCTCGCCTCCCCACCCTCCCGCTTTCTAAATTACACTGGTCAAAAAAAAAATCTCTGGCCTGGACTTTTGTAGCTGTTCTAGACTAATTTCAGGGTGCCGATTCCAAAAATTTGATTGCAGGTTGTTGCAAGTCAGTGACTGCTTTAGTGTTAAAATATGGTGCTGTATTTTTAGAATAGTGTGTTTATAATATAATTTTATGTAGATATCCACATTTATTTAATATTTTTCTTCTGCAGTTTTTATTGAAAATGCAATATTTGATATCTCAAAAACCTGATGAGACAAAAACTGACGCCAGATTTGGAATCAGCACCCCAAAATTACCTTAAAACCGTTGGAATACCTTATGCCAGAAAAAGTGTGTTGACCAGTGTTATTTTATTAATCGGGTAAGGCCTACCGAGATGTGTAGCTCTTTTTCAGAAGCTCAACGAAGTGGGCTTATCATCACCATGTGGAAATTGATAGCAGCAGTCCAAATACTCTGAATGTGTCTGATGTTAGCTATACATGTGGAGGGGTCAACCGGAGGAACATTCACGCAACCACGAGGAGAGCATGCATACTTCAAATATACAGCAGGCGTTAAGGTCGGGATTGAACCCACGACCTCCTGTATAACAGGCGAGGTGGTTAACATCTCGTAGCCACCGTGGCAACCCCCCTCACACTTTCCTTCCGACCTCATCATCACCTCCCTCTCCTCACCATCACAGCCCCTCTCTGTGTGGGCCCCCACCCACTGACAGCCACTAACGCGCACCGCTTTCTCTGTGCAGCACCCGTGCGTCCTGTGCAACGAGGCCAAGGAGGTGCTGAAGCCGTTCCTTCACCGGGTGAGCTACGGAGCAACCACCACCACCACCACTCGCAACAAACCCATCACCACAAACCCATCACCACAAACCCATCACCACAAACCCATCACCACAAACCCATCACCACAAACCCATCACCACAAACCCACCACCACAAACCCATCACAGGAGTAGTTACCACCACCATCACGACCACCACCCGCGCGTGACCCTGTCGCCCCGTGTTGGCTGCACGCGCCGCCAGGTGGAGCTGGAGGAGGTGGACATCATGCATTCGGCTCACAGCTACTGGTTCCAGCGCTACCGCCACGACATCCCGGTGGTGCACCTGGACGGGCGCTTCGTCATGGAGCACCGCGTGCACCCCGGCGAGCTGGAGCGGCGCCTCAGCGCGATCGAGCAGTACCGACGCGACAAGGCCGCGGCAGCCGGCAAGGAGGCAGCCGGCAAGGAGGCAGCCGGCAAGGGGGCAGCCGGCAAGGGGGCAGCCGGCGGCGGCGGCGGCAAGGGGGCAGCCGGGGCGCCCTCGCAGAACGTGGCGTGACGAGGGGCCTCCTAGGGTTACCTCCGCTGCGTTACCCCCTGTAGCAGTGGGGGGGTGTGTGGGGTAGTGCAGTAGTTTGTCGTCACTTTGTTCAGTTGCACATATCAAATTGATGACGGGTACGAGATCTGTGCCCCACAGTACGAGGCCTCTAGTTCTTCGCGTGGGCAGAGGCCGAGGTAGCGGAGAGAAGGGCGAGGCGAGCACGTGAAGAATCAGCTTTATTGTTACAGTATTCGGCTTACTTGAAACTCCAACGGGCCTCTTTACATTAAATAGTGAAATCGGCAATCGCTGCCTCGGGCTGACAAAATAAAATTTGTACGTTTAAAGAGTGCGTCAGTCAGTTCTGTTGCTCGCTTTGTCCACCGTGAAGCGCCCGCTTTTCCCGGCCTCGGAGCGGACACCCCAGGGTACGAGCGAGGAGCGAGGGGGGCGGAGGAGACTGCGACCGCCCCCTCTCCGAACGCTGCGCGACGCCGCTGGCACCGCCGCGGTCGTCAGGTTACCGCACCGGCACGGTCGTCAAGTCCACCACGCCGGCACGGTCGTCAAGTCCACCACACCGGCACGGTCGTCAAGTCCACCACGCGGGCACGCAGAGCCAAGGGGGGCGCAACCCCCGCGCCGTCACCAAGTCCCCGCGGCCGGTGGCAGTGGCAGCTCACAGAGACTCGATCTGGCGGCGCACCTTGTCCGAGGCGATGCGGTCGAGGCGGCGGTGCCGCAGGGTGACGGCGAGCGCCAGCGCGGCCCCCAGGCCCATGACGGTGAACTCGAAGTGCCAGAAGGCCCGCTCCTCCGCCGTCGCAGAGCGGCAGCTGCACAGAAAAAGAAGAGGCCGTCACGGTTCACGCGCCATAGCGTTGGGTTCGTGTTTACATCTGGAGGCTCCGTCTCTTTAAACTCCGAAACATTTTTTATTTTACCAGATAAGGCGCACTGAGCTGTGTAGCTCTTTTTCAGGAGCGACCTGCTCACAATTGGTAGCTCAACAAAGTGGCTCATCATCACGTGGACATTTATAGCAGCCGTTGATTATAAATCTTGAGGGAAAAACCGGAGGACCCGGAGAAAAATCCACAACCACAGGGAGAGACACCGCAAACTCCAAATATCTGCACCGCATGGCCACGTCCTTCCCATGTTTAACCCAGGTCGCGTTTGCAAGAGCGGCATTGTATCATGGCGGGCGGTGGTGGCTGTGCGCGCCTGTAATCCGGCACTGTGGTGGCAGTGAGTGTTGGTGCATCACAAATGTTACAAAATTCCACGTGGGCAGAGGAGCCTCGTCCCCTTGGCTCGCCAGCAGAGGTCGCAACCGGGTACCCGTTTGCGACCCTGGTGCGGCCGGGTACGGGTACGCCGTGAGTCACTGGTGAGTAACTCTTTGTCACTCATTTCCCAACGTCTTGTCTCTTCTCACAATTCAAGTTCCTAGAATCAACCCACCCACGCCTGCAACATGGCTTCATCCCAGAGGTCGCAATCGGGTACCCGATACCTGTACCCTACCCTACCCGGCCGGGTACGGGTAGGGTACGGCCGGGTACGGGTACCCATTTGCGACCCTGGTGCGGCCGGGTACGGGTAAGGAATCAAAACCCGTTTGCGACCTCTGCTTGCCAGGAGATACAGCAAAAATGTCGACCCCGTCCGTTCAATTTGTTTTTTGTACTGTTTTTAAACATGTAGTTACTAGTTATAGCCCACTGAGCTATTCACTTTTTGAGAGGAAACCTGGGCACACGTAACTTTAACTTTCAATTTTATTTTACCACGGCCAACGAAGCTATATAGCTCTATCTCATTCAAGTGGCTGATATCATGTCAGAATTCATAGCCAAATCATCTAAATGCTTTTAAAAGTGGAGCGAAAAACCAGAGGACCCGGAGAAAAATCCATGCGACGATGGAGAGAGAGAACAAGCAAACTCCAAAAATACAGGCGTCGGGGTGGGGATCGAACCCACGACCTCCTGCACAACAAACGAAGAGGTAACAGCTCACAAGCCTGAGTTTTTTCTGGTTGCTCAGATTTCCTCTCGCATCTAAACACTCGTTGGTCGATAACACCTTAATATAAAGAGAACGACAGAGCTTGGGAAATTGGAGTCGGCTCATCGCGTGGCTGCCTTCCTGCTCGTCTTTGGTTCCTCCCTCGCACCTTTGTGTCAGTCTCTCTCCACGAGAGCGAGAGATTATTGTGTGCATTACAAAATTGAAATGATTAAATTACGAGTCTCAAAAGAGCTTATTATTTACTTCATCTCCTGGTTAAATGACCGGCTAACCGCAAGGTCACTTCTTCCATTTCCTGCGGAGTCACCGGGTGCTGCTCACCTGCGGAACTCGTCCTTGTGCGAATCCACGCAGCTCAGCTTCTCCACAAATCCCGTGGCTACGCAGGCCTCCATCGCCGTCTGTGAGGGGCGGCAACGGCGGGGAGAGTGATCCAACCACACGACTCTGACCAGCAGGACCACTACCACCTCCATCACACCCAGCAGGACCACCACCTTCCTCACTCAGCAGGACCACCACCTCCAATCTCACCCAGCAGGACCACCACCTTCCTCACTCAGCAAGACCACCACCTCCAATCTCACCCAGCAGGACCACCACCACCTCCATCTCACTCAGCAGAACCACCACCTCCATCACACCCAGCAGGACCACTACCTCCATCACACCCAGCAGGACCACCACCACCTCCATCACAACCAGCAGAACCACCACCTCCATCACACCCAGCAGGACCACTACCTCCATCTCACTCAGCAGGACCACCACCACCTCCATCACACCCAGCAGGACCACCACCTCCAATCTCACCCAGCAGGACCACCACCTCCATCACACCCAGCAGGACCACTACTACCTCCATCACACCCAGCAGGACCACTACCACCTCCATCTCACTCAGCAGGACCACCACCACCTCCATCACACCCAGCAGGACCACCACCACCTCCATCTCACTCAGCAGGACCACCACCACCTCCATCTCACTCAGCAGGACCACCACCACCTCCATCACACCCAGCAGAACCACCACCACTTCCATCACACCCAGCAGGACCACCACCACGTCCATCACACCCAGCAGGACCACCACCTCCATCACACCCAGCAGGACCACCACCTCCATCACACCCAGCAGGACCACCACCACCTCCATCACACCCAGCAGGACCACCACCACCTCCATCTCACCGAGCAGAACCACCACCTCCTCCATCACACCCAGCAGGACCACCACCTCCATCACACCCAGCAGGACCACCACCTCCATCACACCCAGCAGGACCACCACCACTTCCATCACACCCAGCAGGACCACCACCTCTATCACACCCAGCAGGACCACCACCACCTCCATCACACCCAGCAGGACCACCACCACTTCCATCACACCCAGCAGGACCACCACCTCCATCACACCCAGCAGGACCACCACCACCTCCATCACACCCAGCAGGACCACCACCTCTATCACACCCAGCAGAACCACCACCACTTCCATCACACCCAGCAGAACCACCACCACCTCCATCTCACCGAGCAGAACCACCACCTCCTCCATCACACCCAGCAGGACCACCACCTCCATCACACCCAGCAGGACCACCACCTTCCTCTTACCCCGCGGGTCCACTCACCACCTCCATCTCACTCTGCAGGTCCACCACCAACATCTCATACAGCAGATTCATGACCACTCGACCCCATAAGTTCACCGCCATGTTACCCAGCAAGCCCATTAGAAAACTTAACGAACAAAGTCCACTGCCCCACCTGGCTCTACACGGTGCTGCTCGTTTGTGTTGCAAGTAATGTGCCGTGTGTGGTTTGTGTGTGTGTTGTGTGCGTGTGTTGGGAGCGTTGTGTGTGTGTTGGGGTATGTTTTGTGTGTGTTGTGTGTGTTCTGCGTGTGGGTTGCGGTGCTCACGCTCTGGAAGTCGGAGCACGGGGCGCAGGGCTGCACTGTGCGGTACTCCTCCAGCGCCCAGCAAGGAAGCGGCGTCACTGCGGCCACACACGAGCAGCGCACGTTCCAGGCGACCGTCCACAATCCACCACCGCATTATGCCCCCCCCTCCACTCTGCATTAGACCGGTACGGCCGAGTGGCCTAGAACCGTACAAGCATCCACCGCCAATGCACAGCGCGTGAATCCCATCGCTGGCAAGATGAGATGCCACTGTGGCGGTGAAAAACACAACGCTCTGCCCTCGGATCGGGAATGAATCGGTTCCGAGGCCATGGGAATGCAGGAACGGCCGGGACGTAACCACGGACTTGGGAGGAACAATTCTAGATTTGAAGCTTTCGTGACTGCAAGGATTCATAGTCTTAGGTTTTTTCCGGTAAAGTCACGTAGGGAAAAAAGTTAAAATTAGGAGGGAGGAACAAGCTGGGGGTGGATGCGGTCACGGATGCCGATTGGCTGCAGCAGCGGCGCTGCGTTCGTTCACGTCCGCGTCATGGGCGTGACGACCGCGTGAGCGCCAGCGGTGGGAACGCTGGCGCTGGGGGGGTCAGGATGAGTTCAACAGCGGGAGCCTCACCTGCAACCGGAGAGCCACGCACACTCGCGGCGTCCGCCACTCTGAAACGAACGAGAGAGATTGTTAGCCAATCTGCGGGGTCGTGTCAGCGTTACCGGCAGCGGCAGCAGCATCATTACAGCCAAGGGTAAACTGAAACTAAACTTTTGATTTGACCAGGTAAGGCCCACTGAGCTAGAAGCAAGCTGGCCATAAATGACAGCTTAACAAAAGTGGCTCATCACGTGGACACGTCCAGCAGCAAAATACTCTTAAACGCGCGTTTCTAGATGTGGAGGGAGAAACCGGAGGACACGGAGAAAAATCCACACGACCACAGGGAGAACACGCAAACTCCAAATATACAAGACGCGTCAGGGTCGGGAATCGAACCCACGACCTCCCGTATACCAGGCGAGGTAGTTAACATCTCGCCATCACGACGAGCTATAAACACCATCACTATTAACGATTGTTCCTTGTAAGGCCACAAACGGTTATTTGAGTGTGTTAGGTTTTTTTTACCACTAAATCATTATCATCACCGCCGCCGTTATCATATCATTAACAATGCTCTTCTCACCACCGCTATCATCACCAACCATCATCAACATCACCACCATCGTCACTGCTAACGTAACAATCATAAATCATCATCTTCTCACCATCATCCCAGCATTACTAAAACTATTATCGTCCCATTACCATCGTAAGATCGCCACCACCACCATTTACCATCACAATTACCATGATCATGATTACCATCACTATCATCACAACTACCATCACTATAATCAACCATGACTCATCACAACCACAATCACCATCACAATCACCATAATCACAATCACCATCACAATCACCATCAGTATCATCACCATCACAATCACCATCATTACAATTACCATCACCATCAGTATCATCACCATCATTACCATCACAATCACCATCAGTATCATCACAATCAGCATCACCATCATTACAATGACCATTATTACAATCACCATCATTACAATCACCATCACAATAATCACAATCACCATCACAATCACCATCAGTATCATCACAATCACCATCACCATCATTACAATCAGTATCACTACAATCACCATCATCACCACCATCACAATCACCATCATCACAATCACCATCACCACAATGACCATCACTATAATTACCACCACAATCACCATCATCACAATCACCATCATCACAATCACCATCACCACAATGACCATCACTATAATTACCACCACAATCACCATCATCACAATCACCATCATCACAATCACCATCACCACAATGACCATCACTATAATTACCACCACAATCACCATCACAATCACCATCACCACAATCACCATCACTATAATTACCACCACAATCACCACCATCACAATCACCATCACCCTGCCCCCCGCACTGACCGGCTCAGGCCCAGTTCCGCTACAAACGCGGCCACAAGCAGCAGCGGCAGCAGCAGCGGCCCCGACTCCCAGCCCCGCATCGCGGGCAGGCCGCGGGGTCCCCCGAGGCCCCCCGAGGGACAAGGGGAGGCCGCGGGTGTGTGAGGCCCCCGGGGCCCCCCGGGGTTCGCTTGGAGGCCGCGGGGCCCACAGAGGAGCGCGTTGAGGCCGCGGGTCGGGAAGGCCGCAGGGCCCAGTGGGTCGCGGGGAGGCCGCTATACGCGAGCCCTGGTGGTGGTGGTGGTGGGGGGGTGTGCGGGCTCCCTGAGGCGCGAGGAGGAGGAGGAGGCGGCGGCCTGCGTCTCGCGAGGCGCCGCTAGGCGAGGCGGCTGCGAGCCGAGACGAGAAGCAGGAGGAGGCCGAGGAGCGGTAGCGGCGCCACCATGACAGTCGGCGACGTCACGCGGGCGGCGGTGACGACACCGGCGATGACGTGGCGGCGGGGGGCGGGGCTGGTGAGGGGCGGGGCCCGTGGTGGGGGGGGCTGGTGGGGGGGGGCGGCGAGGGGGGGGGGCGATGACGTGGTGGCGGGGGGCGGGGCTGGTGAGGGGCGGGGCCGGTGGTGGGGGGGTCTGGTGGGGGGGGCTGGCGGGGGGGGCTGGCGGGGGGGCCGGTGGGGGGGGCTGTGGCGGGGGCTGGTGGGGGCGGGGCCGGCGAGGGGGCGGGGCTGGCGGGGGGAGGGGGAGCGGTGGCGCAGTGGTTAGCGCGGCGCTCACGGCCATCAACACCCGGTGACGATTATCTGAACCGGTCCTGGGCCTCTCCGCCTAGGTCGACTCAGCCCCAAACGAGCACCTGGTGCGGTGTGTAAACATCGCCAAAATGGAGACAAAGGCGGCCGGGCGTGGTGCTGGCCACCCACCCACCTCGTGTGCCGTGCCGGCCTTCATAGGTGCTGCTAGCTAACAGCACTTGCCCCAACAGCCTGTTAAGGCTACACGGGGGATATTTGTCTTTGGTGGTGATGGTGGTGGTGGGACTCCCGTGTGCCAGTAGGGGGCACAGCTGCTGTCAGGAGGTCTGTCCCGAGACCTCCTCCTGCCAGCAACACTTCACGTGGCCTCAATGTGCACCTAGCCTGGCACAGGCGCCGTGGCGACGTTACCGTCACTTAGTGGCGAATGGTGATGACGTTGTCCAGCACCACGATGATGACATCACCCAGCACCACAATGGTGATGACATCACCCAGCACACGATGGTGATGACGTAGCCCAGCACCACGATGTGATGACATCACCCAGCACACGATGGTGATGACATCACCCAGCGCCACGATGGTGATGACATCACCCAGCACCACGATGATGATGACATCACCCAGCACACGATGGTGATGACATCACCCAGCACACGATGGTGATGACATCACCCAGCACCACGATGATGATGACATCACCCAGCACCACGATGTGATGACATCACCCAGCACCACGATGATGATGACATCACCCAGCACACGATGGTGATGACATCACCCAGCACCACGATGGTGATGACATCACCCAGCACCACGATGATGATGACATCACCCAGCACACGATGGTGATGACATCACCCAGCGCCACGATGGTGATGACATCACCCAGCACCACGATGATGATGACATCACCCAGCACACGATGGTGATGACATCACCCAGCACCACGATGATGATGACATCACCCAGCACCACGATGGTGATGACATCACCCAGCACCACGATGGTGATGACATCACCCAGCACCACGATGGTGATGACATCACCCAGCACCACGATGGTGATGACATCACCCAGCACCACGATGGTGATGACATCACCCAGCACCACGATGGTGATGACATCACCCAGCACCACGATGGTGATGACATCACCCAGCATACGATGGTGATGTCATCTTTTTTATTGATGATACTGATGTAGTTTATATTTTAGTTTTTTACGTGGTGGTTTGGCTGCTGCAGCTCCTTACTATTAAAATTCCGTCCCTTTATTACTGCTAACCCTACATAATACACGAGCATAATATGACTTTGAGACCCCCCCCCCCCCCACCACCTACACATTCCACAAGTAGTGACTAATCCCATATCTGCATTTCCCATAAATATGCAAAATTCCTCTCGTGATATGCAAATTTCTTTGTCAAGGCCCCCTTCCTCCTCTAACCCAGCTTAAATATACGCTGCCAAGCTTGGTGTTCATTCAGACGCTGTCTTTCCGACAGAACTGTTCTTCACCTGAAGACGGCTGCTTGCGTTGTGGCCAAAACGTCGTGAGAATTGTATTTTATTATGTTAAATTTGTATTATTTTATTATTTCCCTTCTACGTGACTTTACCGAAAGAACCAAGAAGATGAATCCCTGCAGTCACGAAAGCTTTAAATCGAAATTGAACTCACAAATCTTCGAAAGATGTGGGCAAAGTCCCATCAGTGAGCTCCTCCAGCAGGCAAGGGCTGCGTTAAGCTGGGTCATGTATCCCGCATGCCCAGTCACCGCATGCCTAAACAGCTTTTGTTTGGCTGGATAGAGGGGGCTAAATGGGCGTGGCACGGGCTAGAGAAGAGATGGAGTGATGTGGTACAGGAGGACGTGGAGCTGAGTGGACTTGCCGATGACTGGTACCAGCGGTGTCAAGATCGGCCTCTGTGGAGGAGGCTCGTGAAGAACGCTACTGGGCAGTTGGAGGCAGTCGCCCTCCAACAACGGAGGGCGGAGGAGCGACGCTCACAACAACGAGCGGAGCACTGGGTGGCTAAAGCACAGCAAGTTGGCACAGTAGGGAGCACAGCTGGTGCATCAGCCAGTCATCTCGGTCAGTCGACCCGTGGCACCTGGGTCTGCCCCGTGACCTCCTGCCAGCGGGCGTTCGACACTTCACGTGGCCTCCAGGTGCACATAGCCTGGCACAAGCATCGTGGTGACATCACCGCCACTTGGTTGTTGTTGTTGTGTGCGGCACACAATCAGCGCTGTGGCAGGCAAAAGACGAATGCAACCTCTCAAGCTCCCGACGCGTTTTTATTGGCGTCTTCTTCGCTTAAAAAAATATACAAGTAAAAACGACGAGAACTCGCCAGCTCTTGATTGGCCGACAAAGGCACAAAGCCACGAGGGGCCCTGCACGCGGCAGCCGACCGAGTGCTTGAGCAGCGATGCGTTGTAACGGGCGAGCGACTGAATTCATTCGTGTCCGAATGACCGAACGAGCGACTGAGCGAATGGCCGGCTGAATGAGTTGAGCGAGCGATTGGGCTGTCCGGCCTTCCACAGCCAAAATTCAGCAAGGGTGACCGCCCCCCGCGCCCACCCGTCCCAAAACCCCATTACCTTCACACGACTCCGCATGTTTCACGCCTGTGGGCGAACGTGCTTAGTTTAAAAATGGCATAAAAAGTGAGAAGTTTGAACACGTCCCGATGTGTAGGAAATTAGCAGCATCTCGCAAGGGTCACCACCCCCCCCCCCCCCGAGATGACGCGGTCGTCACGGCCCGCCGGAATCCCGCGCCGAGGAGGAGGAGGAGCGGCGTGCGGAGAGTCACTCCCAGTCGTCCAGCAGCCTGCGCAGGTCCGCCTGCACCTGGGGACGACGAGAGCGACACGCCGTGAGCGTCACACGCGGCCACGCGTCACACGCGGCCACGCGGCCACGCGGCCACGCGGCCACGCGGCCACGCGGCCACGCGGCCACGCGGCCACGCGTCACACGCGTCACACGCGTCACACGCGGCCACGCGGCCACGCGGCCACGCGGCCACGCGGCCACGCGGACCACCTCCACGCTGCGTCTCCGAGCTCCGTCTCCGCGACCGTGGCCACGGTACACACGCACGTCGCTGCCGCGGGCTGACGGCGGGCAGAGGAGGAGGAGGGAGGGAGGGGAGGAGGGCGCTACCTTGTTGAGCGCGTTGAGGCCGGTGGCGATGGCGCTGTTCAGGCACGAGTGGCCGTCGGCGGTGGGCTCGGAGGAGAGGCAGCCCCACTGCTCGGTGAGCCTGCACCACGCACGCAACAACGACAACAACAACATAACGCAACGACAACTGACGTACACCGCTAAGTGGCGGTGACGTCCCCCACCAAGGCCGTAGCCATGGAGTCAACATTGGAGGGGACCCAATCTTCTGGGGGGTCTGGGGGGCTCCCCCCCCAGAAAAAAAATCTAAATTTGAAAACGAATTTCCTGCCTAAAATAATAAATAATTCACCAACACATGGGATGGGGGGGAGTCACTGCAGACGACGCTCCCCTCTCTCCTGGTTTGTCGAGTTCTTGCCGTGTCACCCAAACTCAAACCTGTGACATGCTGCGGTTGTCATGTGGATACGCGTTGGCGTGGACGAGCGGGCGAGTGAGCGAGCTGAGTGGGCCTAGCGGGCCAAGTGGGCGAGCGGGTGAGCGGGCCTAGCGGGCGAGCGAGCGAGCGGCCAAGCGGGACGAGGGGGCCGAGCGGACGAGCGGGCCTAGCGGGCCAAGTGGGCCTAGCTGGCCAACCGGACGAGCGGGACGAGGGGGCCGAGCGGATGAGCGGACGACTCACCCCGGTGTGGCCTCCATGAGATGAATGTGCCTCTCCAGAAAGGCGATCCTCATGGCCAAGTACGAGGAGATGCCCACCAGCAGCACCGTCCTGAGAGGGGGGGTGGGTGGGGTGGGGGGGCGGGGGGTGGGGGCAGAGGTGTTGTCCACACGCCGCACTCGTCATAGGCTCCCAAGAGACGCCCAAAGACTCGGCTGTGCGCTCCACTCGGCTGTGTGCGGCGTGTGGGGCATCGCCGCGTGTTGCTAGCCGGGTGAGTGTGCCTGTGTGTGTGTGCGCGTGTGCGCGTGTGCGAGTGTGCGAGTGTGCCTGTGTGCGTGTGTGAGCATCTGCAATGGTCAGTGCGCTGCACTGCGAACCCAGCGACCCGAGTTTGATTCCTGCTCATGGCGAACACCGGCGACGATTATCCTGGGCCTGGGCCTCCTCTCGTTCGACTCGACCTCAAATGAGTGCCTGGTGTGGTGCGTAAACATCGCCACCGGGAAGACAAAGGCGGTCGGGCGTCGTGCTGGCCACCCACCCCCTCGTGCGCCGTGCCGGCCTTCGTAGGTGCTACTCACCAACAGTCTGTTCAGGCTACACTGGGGGGGGGGGGGTATCTTTGTTTTTGGCCGTGTGTCCGTGCTGCCGGGAGGCTCACGTGAGGAACAAGGTGCACAGCATGCAGCCGAGGCTGCGGCCAGAGCTTGGGGGCCCCGGTGCATTGTGGGTGGCGGCTGCAGCGTCGCCCTCCTCTGCCGGTGCATTGTGGGAGTAGAGGCCGCCGTCTCCGTCCACGCTGTCGAAGCTGGGCTCCTGCGCCCTCGAGAGTTTATCTGACACGTGAACAACGCAGGAAAACACGCGCACAGGCACCACAGACACCTTCAGACACATCTACAGGTGTAGAGGTGTTACGGGAGGGCGAACAAACACACCGGGGCTGGTTATGCCCGCACGCGGAAGGGTGCTTACATCCACGTCCGCATCGGTTAGCCCTGGGGGGCTGTAACGGCGCTGTGACCCCCCACGGCCCCACCCCTTGGGGGGGAGTTGCTATATAAGGCGGTGAGCCGGTGGGCTCGGGGTTCAGTGTTTAGCTTAAACCAGCGAAGAGTGAATACCGGCTAGATAGGCCCTGGGACTCCCCTGGATTGCTGTCCTTTTAAGGACCGACCAGGGCAAGCCAGTGGCGTGGCCCCGAGAGCCCAGAGCCGATGCTCTTGTAAGAGCCGGTCTGGTGACTCAGGGTGCCGTGATCCCAGCTTGACCAGAGCTGGGTCAGCTAGCCTCCCCTAGCTCTCGAGTGGAGGACCTGGGAGTAGGCTAGCCGGGATAGAGATAGCGGGGTCTCCCGATACCCCTTCGAGTGTTGTATACATTGGCCTGTGCTGAGTGTAAAGTTATAATAAATAAGTGTGCCTCCGACTACGTCGTCCACGTCTCATTTAATCTACTACACAGACACCGACAGGGACCTGGAGATACCAACAGATACCTACAGACACACCCACAGTCACCGATAGTTTAATCCGTAGGCTTTCACGACCAGTATTATTCAAAATAAAGGTTTTTGGGTTAGATCGCGGTATTTATAAATGTGTCGCAACCCTCCACCACCCGACACGGCCAATCAGTAAAAATATGCGTCACGTTGACAAAAGACAAATACTATGAGACATCTCCTTTACCAGTGGCAACATATAGTAGTAGGTTTTTACCCTTTCAACTGGTACAAAAACTGACACCTTTATACAAGGTATCATGTTTGCAATAACCGCAACACAAGCAGTCAAAAATGCAAACAAAAGACAAATAGTTAACTACTTTAGCCCACCGGTGTGTTGAAGAGTGAATCCACAACATTTACAATTTGAGTTGTACGACGTTTCGCCGGAAATGACATCCAGCATCTTCGGGCGTTTTGCCAGAACAGTGAAGCCATCCGCCTGCTTCCGGTCTTAAATAGTGCAGGATGACGTCATCATTGTTGAACCCTATCAGGATTCGAGATCAGAGGCGGGGGTGGGGGTGTATGCAATTATGTAAGAGATCAGTCATCAGCCACACTTAGCATGTGACTCACCTGTAAGGAATTGCAATGTGTGTTGTGTGTTACTTAATAAAACTGTAGTAGAGTTACCCACTCGATATTCACAAACAGGGAGAGCTAATCGTTGACAAGGGTTTCCCGCTCAAACTAACGGTCAGGGTCTCACAAGTTGTGAGAGCTGACCGTTAACAAGGTTTTCCCGCGCGACCTAACGGTCAGGGTCAGATAGGGTAAATTGGGATCGAAAAGCAGATTGGGAACGACCAATCACAGGGTTCCACAAGGTGGCCGGGGATTGGACAACCCGGCCACGAACGAGTATAAAGCCAGAACGCTCAGAGCTCTCGGGGAGTCCGACGACACGAAGACCCAAGACGGCGGAAGAAGCATAGGACCCTGGACCAAGCCCTCCAGCCCTTATAAGGGCTAGGGTTCAGAGTAACCAGTGGTCAGGGAGACATCTCCCTAGGTCCAGTCAGAGGACACTGAAGGAGCGGGGTATGAGTAGCCTGTAGGCTTGTACGTTCGGAGTGTAACGGGTGAGGGGACCGTATACCCCTCGGTGCATAGGGACTGTATTCACAAATAAAGTGTGTGCTACTAAAAGACGTACAAGAGTCTGTCTGTACAATACTACATTTGGCGTCAGGAGATGGAAACAAGACGAACGAACCGCACGCGAAGTCCCGATGATGCAAGCTCCGACTCACCCGTGGGTGCTGCGGGCGGCGCTGAAGATGTTGGCGTGCTGCCAGCCGCCCCACCACCAGCTGTGCAGCCGATCGCCGCGAGCGACGGCAACCAGGCTGCTCACGCCCGCCTCGCCCAGCTGCTGCATGCTGCAGCAGCCATCCTGGAGCAGCTTACCCTGGGGGCTGCGGGCGGGGAGGAGCGGCCGACAGCGAGCGTCCCCGCCATCGCAAACCCGGAAGAGAACGTCCTTCCCGCCGATGGGTCACGTGGGGGCGGAAGCCAAGTGCATGCTGGGACCTCCGGGGGCCAATCACGACACACTGCGTTATCAGAGAGCGATGCTGCCTCTGCAGGACACTCCAACAACACCGCGTCATCACGGCTGCGACGCCGTACAGTACATGTTGTCGACCAAGCCATCGCTGCGTTCGGAACCGAGTCCGAGCTTGACGAAGACGACGACACAGCTGCTCTACAGCAGCGACTGCCTGTCTTTCGCGAATTCTCGTCCACAGGGGGCGACTGGGCAGCATTTCAACGTCGCTTCCTCAGTCACCAGGAGATGGTGGGCTGGTCGGATGCACAAGCACTTCGTGCATTGCCAGCCACCTTGGACGATGACTCTCTCGCTGCACTCATCTCCATTCCCAAGCGACAAAGGGCGACACTACAAGCAGCACTTCAGCGGCTGTCTGATGTCTACGGACCTCCTTCCGCCACACGCCACCAATTCTACGAGAGACGGTGCAAGCCAAGGGAGTCGCCATTGGCGTTCCGCACCGCGCTACTCGCCATGGCAAGAGCGGCTTACCCCCGCATGGACGATGAGGCTATCGACGCACTCGTCCTTCAGAAGCTGCTGGAGATGGCGAGGGGGCTGCGCCTTGTCATCCAGGCCGTGGATGACGAGGACATGTGCTCACTGCGAGCTGCCCGGAGCATTCATGCTCACTTAATGCTGGACCAGGACGAGACCATCACCGCTTCGGCTACGACATCGGTACCTGCCAGCAGGGACAACGCTCGCTCTCCTGATCGAGTCTTCTCGACGTTCAGCGCGACGCCCCAGCGATCACCAAATCGCACCAGTCGCCGCAACGACTGGGAGCGGGGACGGCCCTTCCCCCGCGACGACGCGACGTGTTTCAACTGTGGCCGCCGAGGCCATTTCTCTCCCGACTGCCGTGCACCTCGCCGCCGCTCCGCCGGATCCCGAGACCGGGACTACAGAGCTTCCAGAGCAGCGCAGCATAACCAGGCAAGTCGCGGCACCCCACACGCTCGGTCCTCATACACACCACAACACACCATTGACTCCGCTCGGAACACGGCGTATGATGCGCGGCGTTTGGCCGACTTTTCACGACCACTGCGACCCGGGCAGTGGTCAGAGCTGGCCCATAGAGTGGTTGCAGCGACGGCGGGTTCCTCGGTGGTCGTTGGTTCGATCGAGGGGGTAGAGGTGCGCGTGCTTGTCGATACCGGTGCATCGGCCACTATCATCTCTGAGTTGATTTACAATATACTGCCCGTGCGATGTCGATCTTTGGAAAAGGTTTCCGTTCCGTTTTTCACTGCAAATGGAAGTTCCCTGGGGATTCTCGGCCAAATTCGGGCGCAAATTGCCATTGGAGATATTAAATTGGCCGGCCCTGTTTTTGTGTCTTCTTCCCTTGCGGTGCCGTGCCTTCTGGGAACTGATTTTCTTGCCAAAATGCCCATTAAAATCCTTATCGATCAGGGATGTATTGAACTTCCCTCGGGCCGCCGGATGGCATTTTTACCCGCGGCCACGCATTCACGGACGGAAAATGTTTCTGTACAGGCTTTTGCGGCTTGCGCTGTACGCATTCCGCCAGGGGCACAAATGCTCGTACCCTTACGGTTAAAAAAACCGCTCGCTCCCACCGCCTTGGTAAATGGCATTTTATTGGGACCTTCCAACACAGCAGTTAACAGCCTTTCGTTGGTGGCCGCACAGACTCTTGTAGCGGGCGACAGGGAACCATTTATACAAGTTTTGAATGTCGGTCTGTCAGACACCGTCATTTCACAGGGGACAGTGCTCGCTCATGCGACAGTGGCGCCTCTGGGAACCGGGGTTGTCGGACACGTAGCGAACAGTCAGCAGCCTCGCCCTCATAACGGTGACGAGGGATGGATTGACGCTCTCTGCGCGGATGCCGGCGATTTATCCGGGTCACAGCAGAGTAAATTGCGGGCTCTTTTGCGGGAATTCTCGGATGTGTTCAGCAAATCACAATTTGATATTGGCTGCACCAAGCTGCTGCGTCACCACATTGACACTGGTGACGCTGCCCCTATCCGCCAAAACCCGTTTCGGCTCAGCCCTGCGGAGAAACAGCATGTTAAATGGGCAGTTGACGACATGCTGGCGGCTGATATCATTTCTCCTTCCAACAGCCCCTGGAGTGCCCCGATAGTGCTGGTCAAAAAGCACGATGGCAGTCTTCGATTCTGTGTAGATTTTCGGCGCCTAAATAAAATTTCTGTGGCTGACGCATATCCTCTTCCACGTATGGATGAGTCATTGGATGCCCTGGCAGGGGCGCGTTATTTTTCCACTTTGGACCTTCTGTCAGGGTTTTGGCAACTCCCCCTCGACGAAGCGTCAAAGCCAAAGACTGCTTTTCGGACACCACAGGGCCTTTTCGAGTTTAATAGATTGCCCATGGGGCTCCACTCAGCTCCAGCGACGTTTCAGAGGCTCATGGAGCTGGTCCTCGCTGGGCTCCAGTGGGACTCATGCCTTATCTATCTTGATGACGTTATCGTCTTTGGCCGCACGTTCAACGAACACATTGAACGGTTGCGCGCTGTTTTCGAAAAGATGCGAGCTGCGGACCTTAAATTCAAACCGCAGAAGTGCCACCTTTTGCGTGAGTCTGTGCGCTATCTAGGCCACATAGTCAGCCGCTCGGGTATTTCCACAGACCCTGAAAAGACTAAATGTGTCAGCCAATGGCCTACCCCCACCTCTGCTGGGGATGTTCGCAGTTTTATCGGGTTCGCGTCGTACTACCGACGTTTTGTGGCTGGTTTCGCTACAATCGCCAAGCCACTACACGC